CCTCCCTCCCTCTCCTTCCTTCCTTCCTCCCATTCCCCCTTCTCTCCTTCCTTCCCGGTTGCGCCGACTCCCGCCTTCAGAAAGAGCAGCCCCAGGTAGCAGTTGCTGGGCCGTCCAGATTACATATCTAGAGGCGCTGGGAAGAGCCGGCTAATTGCTGATCCAGACTGCTGTCGCTGCCGCTTGCCTCACTGCTGAAGCTCAGCCTGGTGCCCAGCCGGGGTCCGCTCACCCCTCCTGCAGCCCCCGCCGAGCTGAGCTTCCAAGCGCCCCTCTCTTTGCTCCCTGGCAGAGCCTGAAGAGGAGCAGGAGCCAAACGGCAGCGCCTTCCATTATTCCAAGGCCGCATTTCCCAGTCCTGCCTTCTCTTGCCTGTCCGAAGCACAGTGAGGGGGGGGTTTCCCCCTTAACCTTGAGCCCCAGGCCGGCCCTGTGCAGAAGAGGCCGCCCATCCCTCTGTGTGCCTGGGGTCCTGGCCGGGGAGCAAAGGTGAAGAGACACCCCCGTGACATTGGGTGGGGTGCCAGAGGTCAAACAGGGCCGGCCAGGCCCACACAACATGGTTCCGGGGCTCCCTCCAGATGGGCAGCCGCAGCAAGAGAAGACTGCAGCTCCTCTGGGTGGGAGGGGGCTTTCCGGGACCCCCTCCAGGCATTTCTGAGACCACCGGATTCCAGGTTACAGTGTTGGGAGGCATGTTTAATGGCGGCCATTCCTCCTGGGTCTGAAATGTATTCGGTTAATGTCACCCTGGTAGCCTTAGGCAGTGAGTAAACTAAAGAAAGGCACCCGTAGCTCTCAGCTGGGGTTTCCAGCCTCTGCACGACGAAGGAAACGCTGCAGAATCTCCAGTGTGGTGCTCACATGGGTATCAAAGAGAGCAAAGGTCTACAGGGCAGGTTTGCTGCTTCGGTTTATTATTATTTTTTCTTTTATCATCTGTGGGTTTGGGCTAGAAGGCCCCAGGAGACGGAGACCTTGACCTGTGACCCGGATGTCCTTAATTCTGCTGAAACTGAGTAGGCTGTGTGTGCAGTGCTTGCTTTCGGCAGAGGCGCCCTGGCCGTGTGTGATGGGAAGGCGGGAGGAACCCGGAGTGATTCATCCTGGTTCTGCACTGCGTTTGAGGGCTGCACCTCACGGGCTCCTTCCCTGCCAGCCCACCTCCCCTGATTAATGGCGCTGCCGGACCTGACTTGCAAATTGTCCGGTCCCTCAAGCACCGTAGAGAGGGAATTCCTCTTTAAACCCTTTGATGCCTTGTGACACACACACTCCAATGATTTTCTCCCTTTCAGCCAGGAGGCACTGCAGATGGAATTGGGGGGTGGGTTGAGGTAAAGGTGGCAATTTCTTGATTCCAGCCCAAAGCCCACAGTAAGGAGGATTCAGGTTGCTGCTGTGATTTCTCGCTTAGATCTGTTGGTTTTTTTTGTGGGGAGGCTACCTCATGGCATCCTTCCACCCCCTTCTGCTTTTCCTGGTGTCCTGGCTTGACCGCGTTTTCCTATTTGAGATGTCTTTAATTTATGCTTCTCAAATGCAGCTGATGACACATCGTTTATTTTGGCACCCTGGACATTTTGATCCTTTCGGAGTGTCTTTAGCCAAAAAGTTGCCTTATTATGCCTGTTTCTTTTTCCGTCGAGGCAAAAAGTCCTTGGCTTTCTGCTTGGAAAGCCTCTGTTAGCTGGGGAAGGGTGTGGGAAAGTCAGATGAGCTGCTCCTAGGGGGAAAACCTGCATGGACACCTGGAGTTGGCCCAACTTCCAAGCCGTGACCTCGTTTGACCAGCAGTTAAAAAAAAAAAAGGTACACACCACGTTTGCCTGTTGTGTAATCAGTGTGAGCTATAAAATACGCTCCTCAAGGAGTTGCACTATGCAGGAGACTGAACCAAGGCCCAAATCCTTTTACTTGCAAAGTGGCTCAGTCCTCCGTCTCTGCAGCCCAAAGTCCTGGAGACATGAAGTCCTAAAATTCTTATCCGGGATTTTGAAAGGAGTGGCAGGCTGGCTTTAGATAAGACACCAGGCTCTTTGAGTTTCAGGCCTCACCTGCAGTGTAGTAGCCTCTGTAATGGACTGGCAGATTAAGTCACCCTGCATATTAAGGCAAGCGTCATATCTGGGTATCTGGGGAAATCCGTAACATTTCTCTACGCTCTTGAGCTGCTCTAACTTCTGAGTCCATCCTCGGTATACTTGGTGGCCAAATAAAGGCTTTGCAGATTAAAAACCAACACACATTTGCGTGCATAATACCTTCACTCATCTTTGCAAATATGTGGATTTAGGAATTGTATTGTCTCAATCTTTGATTGTCAAAGGCAAATCAATTGTCTAGGTGAGAGGGGAAAGCCTGTTCACCCTTATGACTAGATTTTTCTGCATGTTTTTTTTTCCCTGTCATCACCGGGAACACATTTTTAAAATGCTGCAAGGTGATCCTTCCATCGGGGACGGAATTTCCTCAAAGGTTAGGGTTACAACAACAAGCATGGACCAGGTCTGGCTGGTTCTCCTCCTGAGTCTTATCTCCTGAGTTAAATTCTAGAAGGTCTGTTTTAAAAAACAAAACAAAACTACATGGCGGATCAGTTAGTAATCTTAATTGGGTGGGCCCACCTGGAAAGATAACACATTTTTTAAAAGATGGAGGAAGTGCCTGATTCATGAGAACAAATGAGGAAGTTGTCGAGCATAAGCATCTTCTGAGAATCTTGGTTGCCCAAGAGGAATCTCCCATGTTAAATAATCAGAAATATTTACTTGAAGGACATTTTCTTTACCAAGGGAGCTGTCCTGTGTTCATGCCTTTCAACTTTGGCACCTTTAAGGTGGGTGGACTTCAATTCCCAGAATTCCCCAGGCAGCATAGGGGAATTCACCCACCTTGAAGGTGCCCATGTGGAGACCCACTGATCCGAGGAGACCTTGTCTTCTTCAAGCCTCTTCAGGTAGACCGAGTTGAAGCATAGAGGGTGATGGTTGCGTTGTGGTGGAGGCTGTTACTGTGTGTTTGCCCTTGAATTGTTGGTGCTCCCAAGTCAGCCAATTAGAAGCTGAAATAAGTCCCTGGCTTTGGATTCTGGGAACTCCTAGCGCTGATTAGAAATAGCAGAAGGTGACTTTGTCAGTTGAACCAAAACAATTTCCTTTTGGCACACGCCTGTTTGGAAGTCCGCGTCGTTGTCTTAACACACCTTGAAGGAGGTCTCTCTCCACAATTTCATTGCCGGTTTCATCAGGGCGACCTTGCTTAATGAAAAAAAGGAAGACACTGCTGTTGCAAGCCTGGCCAATTTACTTTGCAAATTAGGAAGTCTCCTTTGAAGGACAGCCCGCGACAAATTAAGGGATTATTCCAGTAGGCTGAAAGGCAAATCACCCAGGGATGCCTTTGAACTTTGCCACCGTGTCAATTATTCAGCCTGGCTGGCCTTGGGGCATCGAGGCTCCCTGGCCGAATGTCTTTGTATTCGGCCTCAGATCTGCTTTCTTATCCTTGAGAAATTGTAGGCCATTTAGTTGATGGAGGCTGCTGGCTGATGCTGGAACAGAGAGTAAATCTTAATAACCCGTTGCCATTTCTAGGCGTCACTGCAGCGCTCCATAAAAAGGTTTCGTGTCCTTCTTTTTCTTAGTCATCGGCGGCTTTTGCAAATGGGAATAAAAAGCTCTCGCCAGTTTGGGGGCGCTGGGAGCTTTCTGCCGATTCCCCAACGCTTCTCTCTTCCTTTGCCTTCGGTTGCTCAGCGCTCTCGTCCTCTGCAGCTGGCCACGTCATTATAATCCACGTATAGAACGTGCCATAAGTTGTAGCTCCGGGGACCACGCTGGCCGCCTTCTCCGCAGGTTGCAGAAACATGGAAACCGACAGGAGACAGACAGCAAAAATCCACTAGGCGTATTTCTCTGTTCTTGGGAAATCGGTGGCTTCCCACTCTGCATTCATAAGTCTGAGAGGCTTCGGGTCAGCCAAGAGGCAGAGATTCTTCCTGGCTTGTAGTTTGAAGGTTTGGCTTGGCTTTCGAGTTCCAAGTTCAGAAGGGAGGGAGGGAAGGAAGGAAGGAAAAGAGAAGGAGGGAAGGAAGCAATAAAAGAGAAGAAAGGAAGAAAAAAGGGGGAGGGAAGGAAGGAAGAAAAGGGAGGGAAGGAAGGAAGGCATTGCAATTGTGTTTCGTGCTGTCTGGTATAGAGAAGGGGGTCCTTTGTTGCTGTGCTGATGGGAACAGTAGAGAAAGAAATACTAGAAAAGAAATAAACTTTACACAGCCACACTGCGACTATTTTGGGGGTCAGTTTGATGCTGGTTAGCTGCAACATGTTGGCAGATCACACAGGGTCATGCCACCGTTCAGCTTTAATTGCTGTTTCAGCCGGGAACGTAAAGAAAGGGCAGTTTACAGATTAGCAGGCTTCATTTTATGTAACAAATCAGTTTTAACTTTTTTGGCCAGAGATTAGTGGCTTTTTGTTCCAAAGGAGATATGCCCTAAGCAGATTTCCTGATTAGTGACTCATGCAGCCTGCTGAACGATGCTGTAGGATGATCTTCATAACTGCAGCAAAAGATTGAATTTTTCCTCCTGTGTTCAATCGGTCAGCTGGCTTTTCCAAAAAGTGTTGCCTTCCGCCTTCCCGTGTCTGTCTGGCCCTTATTTCTTATAAGCACTTTCATTTTCTGGGACACAAAATATCCTTATTTCAGTTTGGTGCTGAAACTGTGTAAAGTCTACTTCTGCAATTATTTCAAAATTACCTTTGGGACTAGGACATTCTCTGCCCGCATGTGTCTGTCCTTTTAGTCTGCATCTCGTAAACGTGGGGCCATATAGAAATGGGAACATCTTTGTGGAAATAACTCCAGAAAAAGAGTTAACGGGGGCTGTCCTTGGTCCTGCTGAGAACTGCTCTGCTTTTTGATTTCTGCGGCCCTTACATCACTGCATCAGTTCCTCCTTTGGGCTTTTGCAATAAAAACTGATGCTTGTCGCAGTGTTGGCTGGGGAATTCTGGAAGCTGAAGTCCACATATCTTAAAGTTGTGTGGTTGAGAAACACCGCTCTGTTGCATTCATAGAATGACAGGGGTGGAAAGGACCCTGGAGGTCTTCTAGTCCAACCCCCAAGGCAGGAGTCCTCATCCCATCTCAGACAAATGGTGGCCAATCTTTTCTTGAAAACCTCCAGAGGTGGAGCACCCACAACTTTGGGAGGCAAGGCCTGTTCCATTGGTTGTCCTCACTGTCAGGAAATCCCTCCTTATTTCCAGATTGGATCTCCCTCTCCTGATCTTCTGCCCGTTGCTCCTTGTCCTGCCTTCTGATGCTTTGGAGAATAAAGTGAGGGTCTTTTCTTGGGACAGCTCTTCACGCGTTGGAAGAGGGCCATCGTGTCGCCCCTAAGTCCTCTCTGCTAAATGCACCCTAGTACCTTCAGCTATTCCTCCTTGTGTGGCAGGGGTCTTCAGATTTGGCAACATTAAGACTGGTGGACTTCCAGAATTCCCCAGCCAGCACTGAATTCTGGGAGTTGAAGTCCGCAAGTCTTAAAGTTGTCAGGTTTGGAGACCGCCGCTGTGTGGCGCCAACTCGGAGAGCAGCTAGAAAGTCCCTTTTAGAAAGGGTTTCTTTGTTTAGCATACGGCCTCTACAGAGGTCGTGCAATCACTGATATACAAACTTAGTTTGAGTTAGAGATGGTGATAAAGCCAGAATAGGCCAGTATTTGAAGGGCTGACGTTTTTCTCTCTCTCTCTCTTTCGAAGGGGTGGCCGACGGCGTCGGAGGCTGGCGAGACTACGGCGTCGACCCGTCTCAGTTCTCAGGGACTCTGATGCGCACTTGTGAACGTTTGGTAAAGGAAGGACGGTTCGTGCCCAGCCACCCTGTGGGGATCCTCACCACAAGCTACTGTGAGCTGCTGCAGCACAAAGCCCCCCTGCTCGGTAAGAAGGCCCTTAGAGATCTGGTGTTCTCCCTTTCTGCCTTGTGGACACATGTTCAGTTCCCCCCAGTTTCGTCTCTCTTAGAAATCAACGTCTTCCCATTTTATCCCGAGTGCCGAGAACCGGCCTGGCCGAGGGAAACGGGGAACTTTTGGCCCAGTAACGGCTTTGCTCACTGCTCACCTGATGCGAGTCTGCTTTGCCAAGAAATCTCTCTCTCTCTCTCTCTCTTAATGTGGGTTATTTTTAAGCGCCCTCAGCTAAACCCAAGAGGAGACGTTGCCCTCCCATGATCACATGTCTCACAAACAGCCCCGGCTGGAGAATTGTCTCCTTGGCTCCATTCAGGCACTGGGCCCCGTGCCTTCCAGTAGGTCTGGGGGCCCAGCTCCTCCTTTAAAGGGCCCCCGGCCAGGAATGGTCCTCTCCAGGAGAAAGCCTGCTCCGATCTGCACCCTCTCCTCCTCCTCCTCCGCGACGGCCACCGAGGCTGTCCTTGGAGAGACGTGCCTTAACGCCATTTCATTAGAAACGTCCTACCCGCCTTTCTAGGGAGCAGCACGGCCTGCATCGTCGTCCTGGATCGGAGCACTCGGCGCCTGCACACCGCCAACCTGGGCGACTCGGGCTTCCTGGTGGTCCGGGGGGGCCGCGTGGTGCACCGCTCTGACGAGCAGCAGCACTACTTCAATACTCCGTTCCAGCTCTCGATAGCACCGCCCGAAGCCGAGGGGGTCGTCTTCAGCGACAGGTGAGGCTCTCCGTGGGGCCTGGCGGGCAGGAGAGGCAACCCGCCCCACCCGGGGTGGGTGGGTCTGTCGGGAACACTCAGGAGACGCTGCGCCTCCAGCTCAGCTTCCCTCTGGCTGGAGTTGACGCTCCCGAGAGGTTTAGCTGCTGGTTTTTCTTTCCGTTATTATTTTTTTTTGTCCTTCCAGTGATGGCAGATGCTGTTTGGTCACTTGTGGCATGGGGACCAGTGTTGGGCAGCCTCGGAAGCTTCCAGATGGGTGGACTTCAACTCCTTGCTGGCTGGAGTTGACGTCCACCCATCTGGAAGCTCCCAAGGCTGACCCAACACTGGTTTAAGTAGATTAATTTCTTTTGCTAGTGTTCGGTGGGAGCTATATTCCCAGGCAATATTCCTCACCTCCCTTCCTGCGGCTGATTATCAGTTCGTGGTGCTAAGGGGTCAAACGCAAAGCGTGGTGCTATTTTTATGCGCTCGGGCCTTGCCTGATGCTTTCTCTCCGCAACGGCCGAGGCATCGGATCCAGTCTTTCCTATTCCCCCCCCAGGCGACTTGTTTGCAAAGCAAAACCACCGTTACGTGTTGTGAAGGGAAATATTGACAGGACGGCAGGGAGTGTGTTTGGCTTTAAAACCTCGCCGGGTACACGCCGTATTGTCCCGGGAAGGCATAGCTGAGTTACAGGGATGGGAGGTGCAGGAATGTGAGAGAAAAACATTACAAAATGTTGAGGGCTGCTGACTTGCTGATGGAGATGGGGGGGCCAGATAGGTTGTCGGAATAATAGAGATAGAAGGGACCTTGGAGGTCTTCTAGTCCAACCCCCTACTCAAGCAGGAGACCCTGAATCATTTGAGACAAATGGTTATTCAATCTCTTCTTAAACCTCCAGTGTTGGAGCAGCCACAACTTCTGGAGGCAAGCTGTTGCAGCCTTCCCTCCATCTGTCATATGTTTCTATCCATCCATCCATCCATCCATCTCTATCTATCTATATCTATCTATCTATCTATCTATCTATCTATCTATCTATCTATCTATCTATCTATCTATCTATCTATCTATCTATCTATCTATCTATCTATCTATCTCAGAACCATACAATCCTAGGGCTGGAAGGGACCTTTGAGGTCTTCTAGTCCAACCCCCTATCCCTTTTCAGACAAATGATCCTCCAGTCTCTTCTTAGAAACCTCCAGGGATGGAGCATCCACAACTTCTGATGAATTGTTCTCCTCCTTAGTTCTATGTTGGATCTCTCTTGGATAAGTTTCCATCCATTGTTTCTTGTCCTGCTTTCAGAGGCTTTGGGGAATAGGTTGACAACCCCCCCCCCTCTTCCTTGTGGCAGCCCCTCAAATATTGGATCACGGCTGTCATGTGGCGCTGCCTGGTTCTGTCAGGGACCTTCTCTTCATCTCAGATTCTGGAAAGGTTTCTGCTGCTGCTTACGTACCGGGAGGCACATGACTGCCGCTTGTCTTTCAGCCCCGTTGAAAGTTTCCAGCTGTGCTGGACGCCCGTGAACTCCCACTTGGCAGAACCCCAAGCTCTGACAGGGAAGCACATTTTGTCCGACAGGAGCCCCGGCTGCAAAGGGCACAGACACCAGGCAGAGAACTGGAGCAAGAGGGGAAAAAATGTAGTGATGAACTGATCAAGGGGGAGCCTTTTGGATGCCTTTTGGGGACCCTCATCGGGGTCTTTGCGAAGTGTTGAGCTGGGCAAAGCGCCCTCCTTGGCCCCGGGTGCTTTAAAGCCTCCATCAGTGGCTCAGTCTGGTTCATCACCGTCAGGCTTTTCTCTTTCTCTCCAAAGGCCACTCAAAACGGGGCTTTGGTCACGGCAGACGTAAAGGCTGTTTCCCTGAGAGTAAGCTGCCCTGGGCTCAGCAGAGTGGAGAAGCCTCCGCTGGTGTAGGGAGGACTGCCCCTCTTGCACAGCTTAAGCCTTAGACCCCTCCGCATTTCACATCTCCCTCTACTTTCTTGGCGTCTCCTCAGCCCGGACGCTGCCGACAGCACCACCTTCGATGTTCAGCTGGGGGACATCATCCTGACGGCCACAGACGGACTCTTCGACAACATGCCGGACTACATGATCCTCCAGGAGCTGAAAAAGCTAAAGGTCAGGGCTTTCAGTGGGTGCCACCGCAGAGAAATTAAAAATGCAGCAGGATCCCTGACAGTTAACATTTGTCCAACAGTTGCCTTGGCAGCCTGTTGGTGTTAATGGGTTAGGGTGCAACTTTGGGGCAGATCTTGGTGGGTTTTCTCCACTGGCAAAATTTTTGCTCCGTGAATCTGTGACCGTCTGAATCTTTTCTCAGGGTTCAAAGGTGCAAGCGGGAGCCGAGTAAGAGTTTAAAGTTGAGGGCAGGTTTATCTTTTAATCTGCTCTTGTCCTCCCCCTATAATTCCGAAAGCAGACGGTCGGTTATCGGAGAGCTGAAAATCTGCTCTTCAGAATCGGATCCACTCAAATCTGCAGCCTTGGAAAGGAGGGGGGGGATTTGTGCTTGGCCTTTTGACTCGAGAAGACACAATTGCTTTGTGTTAACGGTCCTGTTACACCGCATGCTTGCGATAATAGGTGAAACAGGCAAAGGCTCTTTAAACGTTCACCGTTTCTTTTTGCCGCCTTCCACCCAGAACTCAAATTACGAAAGCATCCAGCAGACGGCAAGCAGTATTGCTGAACAAGCCCACGAGCTGGCCTACGATCCAAATTACATGTCTCCCTTTGCACAGTTCGCGTGCGACAATGGACTGAATGTAAGAGGTAAGAGCGGCTGAGCGGGAAGAAGAAGTCAACCCTCCCGCGCGTTTGCTCCAGAAGGCAATGTTGGCTAGAATTAACTTTGCAGAAGTGCACGAAACGAGAGAACCTGTTAACGCGGGTGCTAATTTGATGCAAGACCTTGACCTGTGCATGCATATTTTTGTACCTGCCACCGTATCAAATGGTTCAATTTTATTTTATTTTTTTGGTGTGTGGAGATTTGTCTCAATTTCTTGGCAGAAGACATTTCCCAAAGAACTTAGAGGAGGCTGTGGATACATTTTGATCCCTTTGGGGGTTAAATTTCCTTTTCCCGGCTGTGTGTTTAGGGGGTAGGAGTGTTTAATTTTGCTCCTCCTGTTTTATAGCACCAGGTCTTCAGCTACAAACTTGGAATAGAATAACAGAGTTGGAAAGGATCTTGGAGGTCTTCTACTCCAACTCCCTGCTTTTTTATAATACTTTAAAAACTTCTCCATGTCTTGCTTTTTAGGTGGGAAACCCGATGACATCACCGTTCTTCTCTCTATAGTAGCTGAATACACAGACTGACCGGCTGTAATGCTCAGCTTTTAAAGACTGGTGTGTCTCCCACTGTACTCAGCTTCACACGGACTATTTTCCTGCGGGCAGGAATTCTCTCTCTCTCTCTCTCTCTCTCTCTCTCTCTCTCTCTGCATCTGACCTCAGTGGCTAATCACACCTTACGTCCATTGCCTGTTTTAAGATGCAGTCAAGACCCCTGGCCCCAAACCTCAGCTGGAGGACACCTGGGGATACCTCCAAGCAAGAAATGAAGAATTTTTCAATACTTGAAGCCTGTCTTTCAAAATTGACTCGTAGTTATTGCATAGAAAGCGGGGTGGGGAGGGGGCTGGAGAGGGAATAATCTTACTTATGGCTCTGAAGAAAAGGTGAGCAAACAAGAACGCCAGATCGGCTCTGCGTAGTTTAATTCGGGGGGGGGGGGGAGAGAAGGGGTTGTTTCAAATCAGCAAAGAGAACCTCCGCGAGGTCCCGAGAGGGCATGGCTAGAAAAAGCCCAGTTCTCACCCGTGGAAGGTCAGTCCATCCTGCCCTTGGCTTAACGTGTTGGAAAACTTGTGTTTGTAGCTGAATTCTCTGTAGGCTTTCCAAGTGCAGTGAGCCTTTTGGTCTCTCTCTCTCTCTACATTTCCACCTGGGCAACTTGGAAGATGTGCCGGCTGGGGCGTCCTGGGGGTTGAAGTCCGCACATCTTCCAAGTTGCTCTGGTTGAAAAAATACCGGTCTGTATGGTATTAGCCAGGAGCTTTGTTACTCAATCTGAAACGCACAACTCGTCGTGAATTGTGGTGTGCACGTGTGCGAGAGTGTTTGTGAAGGTGCTAAACTGTTATAGCAGTGGGAATGTTGGCCTGTGGGGGCCCTTTCGTAGCTGGGTTTTTCTCCCAGACCGTTGCCTAAAACCCTCTTCAGTTGCAGAGAAGTCTAAAGATGAACGAGGGAGATGGAGGAGCGATGCTGAGTGGGCTCCCGGCAGCCGTCACGCTGCATAAGCATAAGTGGGCAGCACTTGGTGGGGGTGAGTTTGCGTACAGGATTCCCCAAGAAAATAAATGTTTACAGGGCTCTTAACTGCTAATTGGCAATATCACAGATTTTATTTTTTTTGCAGTGACAAAACACTCAGTCCACTTTCTCAGTAGCTATAATTTCCCCTGCCCCGTTTTTCTAAGCTTGTGTAAAAATATATATATATATATATAAAAATTAGCTGTTTTTATTTATACATAACGCCTAAGAGGTATGTATAAAAATCTCGGTCAGTTTTTCATAATTTTTCCTTTCTGTTTTTGCCGGTAGGAAAAACAAAAAGTCTTTTGCAACGAAAAGCCATGTTTTATAGAGCAAGTTGGGTCACGTTGATGTTTAGTTGATAATCTTGGCGAGTAAAAGCAACAGTCCCTTTTTTAAAAAAAAAACAAAAACAAGCAAATTCACAAAAAGGGGTTTTTTTTACTGCCAGGTTTATTCTATTAAAACTGTACGTTTGAGGTTACCTCAGCCTGTTTTAAATATTACTTTTGGTGGTTGTACTGTATATTTGCATAATTGTGTCCGGCTTTTATTTATAATGAACATGTACCGTGTACATGTGGCTGTTTCAATGCATCCTGCTTTTAACAGGCATTTCATTTGCGACGATCACGGGCAAAACAATTTCATTTTTAGAAGCTGTTCCAACCCATTTTTCCAGTTTTCTTTTAAACCATCTTTTTTTTTTTTTTTTGTCCAGATGCCTTAACAACGTAGCTTGATAAAACTGATCGGTTTTGGGGGTACGGATACAGGGTGGCATACAGTGAAATGACGAAAATTGTATAATATGAAAACATGGCCCATTGTAACGTTGTACAAACCATTTCAACCCCTCCTGTTCCTGATGCTGAACCAGCTGGTGGACCTAAGCATCTTCTGCTAGAAATTGTATATTAATGTGTCTTTATGCAACCTCTTTCTTGCTTCGTCGGAGGAGTAGGTAGCTCTTAATGGGGAGTTTGTGTTTTGCTGGTGCCATCTCTTATTTCGAGCAAACCCTGAGGAGCTACCAACTCTCCCACCGTTTTTTTTCCATCGTCCTGGGTCTCTAGAGATCATCAAGCAGGGGTTATTGTTGCTGCCCTCTCTTCAGCCTTTCTGTAACTGTTAGCTAACTATGGAGGGGAAGATGATTTAAAACACTGTTTGTCAACCTCAGCAGCTTTAAGATGGGTGGGCTTCAACTCCCAGAATTCTGTGTGCTGGCTATGCTGGCTGGGGCATTCTGGGAGTTGTCCACTCATCTTAAAGCTGCCGAGGTTGAGAAATGCTGCTTTAGAAGTAGCAATGAATTCCTAAGCCTTGGTGGGTTATTCTTGGTTTTGTTTAATTTAAAGCAATTTCTACTCTTAGCAGTATCTGTAAAGCCATTTGTTCCCTAGGACCATTTTTTTTAAGCCATGGTCAAATTGAATTTTTAGACTTGCATTTTCCCCTTCCTCCCCTTTGGGACACCAAAGACTCCCATCGAGTTTATAGCTTTTGGCCATCTGTTTTTTAAAAGCAATACTGTATTATAAACAAATTCTATTGCATGCTTCAGATCTCCCCCTCTCCCCCCCCCCATTTTAAGGTGAGCCTTCAAACCTAAAAAGCTCCGATTTCTTCCTAGGAACTTAAAGCTGTCTCTGCGCACAAGAATTTTATTTTTTTACAAATAAAAAATAAAAAAAATTTTAAAAGGAAAAGGCGAGTCTCCTGCCCTTGGTAGCACGACCTTCCCGCCGGCCCCCCAGGCCGTGGGTGCGTTTTCTCGGGGCGCCCTCCGGGCTTAGGATTTGGCCACATTCCATTTTCCCTTCTTCTCTTCAAACGGGGATACCTGGACAGAGGAGAGCTAGACCCCCAACCTGCTTTGAGGGAGGGGCACGTGTGAGAACCTCCCCAATTCATTGGAGCAGCTTCAGGGCCGTGTGAAGAGGCAGGAGGGGGCTCTGCTGCTCCTTAATGAGGGGGGGGACGTATCTTGGGCTCCATTTTCTTTGCTCAGGGTGGGGGGATGAAAGCATCGCCAGCGGGATCCAGAGCGACCCAGAAGGCGGCAAACTCCGACTTCTCGAGGGTGGGGTGGGCAAAGGCCAGGTTTTCCCAGCGCCCCCCCCTTCTCTTTTGCACCTCTGCCCTCAAAATCTGCTGCATTGCAGAGGTGAGACTGTCCCCCCCAAAGCCTGGACATCGTTGCCCGCCTCTTCCTTGAAGCGGGGGGGGGGGATTGGCAGCTTCCTAGTCCCCCCCCTTCTGCAGAAGGTTCCCTTCTGCTTTCTTAGGAGCCCCTCCGGATCCTGCTTGATTCCCCATCCGAATAGGGGGGGGGAAAAGCAACTGGGACAGAAGGGGATCGAGATTTAAAAACCATCCACAGTGGAAGCAAAGAGAAGAAATTACGGGAATGGCTCTTTCCCGCGGAAAACCGGACTCAGTCCAGACCTGGGTGGGGGTTTTTTTGCATTTTTATTTTGTTTTATTTTTCCTTCTCCTGAGACAAGGATAGCTTATCTAATGAGGATGCTGTTTTCTTGTTAAATGAGACTATCGTGACCTGTAACTTACCTAAAAAAAAGGAAATTTAAATTATGTGAATTGAATGTCTGGAGTATAATTTGTGCAAGAATAGTATCTGTAAATACATTTAAATGAATTGTAAAGATATTTAATAAATATAGTATTTATACAATATATGGGGGCTTCCTTGAATTGTGACTTGAAGACAAGGTCATGGTGCTCTGTTGCAATTATATATATATATTCCTATTTTGATCAGTGCTTCCCAATCTTGGCAGTTTGAAGATGCGTGGACTTTAACTCCCAGAATGCCCAGCTATGGTGGCTGGGGAATTCTGGGAGTCGAAGTCCACTCATCTTCAAGTTGGCAAGGTTGGGAAACACAGATTTAGATCATCAAGCCTCAAACTGGCCTCTCTAACAGTCAAGAAAGAGCTATTCCAAGCATATACATTACGTCTACCTTTTAATTTCACGAAGCAAATTCCTAAAAATGTGTTTCACTGCTCAAACAGGCCACGTTGAGCGGCAATATAAAAGGAACATATTGATCTTTTGTCCAATATCTGCTTGTTTCACAATGTTTAGCCGGCAGTTCCTGGCAGGTCATGTCCTCAGCAACAGCGGGCCACTAAAATTAAAATTTTAAAAATCTGTGTACAATGAGGAATTCAGTGGAAGGAGCAAAGGAACATATGTCTTTCTCAAAAAAAAAAACACAAACCATTTTGTGGATGTTTGGGGGAGTATAATAAAGCACACTGCTGCTAGAGAGAAATTGTTTTCCATTTTGTGTTCCTGGTTTCACTTTGCTTTCAAAAGCAGCCTCTCTTTTCTCATTCTTCCTCGCTGGAGCAGATCTTAAAGACGTTGCCCAGGCAGCAGCAGTGTGTGATTAATTGCCTTTTGTTAGGTTGCTGTGGGTAACTGCCAGCGAGAAAGGCTAAAACTGCCAAATGCATCTTGACAACCAAATGCTGAACACGCTTCTAAAACATTCCATCTGGTTGCTGCGGGCAAGCCTCCTAAAATGCTTTCAAGTTGATTGTAATATACGGTACTAACCCTGGTTTTTGAACAACCTACACAACAGATAGCCCAAAGTTTTCCCACACTGAAGGAAGCTCACTGAATATTACACACACTTAGAACTTTTAATCACATCTGACCGACTAAAGGATTCTGGAAAAAGCTGCAATATCCATAGGTGGAAGATAAAACAACATTTAGGAAGCAGGAGCGTCCATTTGGGTAACTCGAGCGGCTAAAATAAGCAAAAGCTACATTTTCCTGCAAGCCAAACTCGGCTCCTCCTTCTTGCCTGCTTCACCAACGGACGTTCCCTGCGGTTAAAACGTGGGCGAGAGCTGCCCGCGGGCGCAGTCCTCTTCTGGGTCGCTCACTGTGGCCAGAGTGTGAAGTAAATTGGCGTCGCTTTGCTCATTAGGGGAAACTGCTCCGAAGAACAAGGAATGAAACTGGAAAAAAAGGGGAAAAAAATGAAGCATCCCTGGGACCTTGAGCCAAACCTAGAATTTCTGCACATCGGGAGGCCGAATTGCATGCAGCAGTAGCCAAGTGGGACCAAAAAACTGGACCGCGTTGAATTTCGGGATGACTTTTAAGTCCCAGAAAGCCAGGCCCACTTCGGTTCTTGGCAACTCTCTTTTGCAACCCATGTCAGCCAATTAATTAGGATGAGAGAAGCAGTGGATCGAATTCACTAAGGCAATCGGATTCTTCTCCCTTCTTTCACTGGCGGCTTCTAGGCGGCTTTTTTTTTTTTTACCTTATTATAGCTGGGATCAGTTGGTTCCTCTCCTGTGGAAAATCCCTCGGAGGGAGCTGTGGATGCATTCCTCCTGCGACTGACGATGTCTTGATTACGTCTCTCTAAGGCAGGGACCCTAAAGTGCCATAAAGATGGATCTGAGTTATGATTTTCCCTCCCAGTGGTTGTTTTCAGAAGCTTCAGCCTGGAGCTTCCTCTTGGAGGACCTCAGAGGGCTCCTTGGGGCCTTGTTCTAAGATTATCTTCCTGTCAAGTGGAGGCTCTACAGATATGTGGCATGCACTATATTTGGGCAGGAAGCTGGCACCATCTGACGGCCACCTTTAATTTTAAGCAGGGAAGAGATTTGTAAAGACAAGTCTTGTTTAGCTTCGGGGAACAGAGAAATGGAGGCAGGGTTACATCTGCCTCTTGGTTGCTTTGCTAAGCAAGTGGCTGGTAAAGCGTTGGGCGTTTCCTTATTTACAAACTGCACTTGCTCTTTTGGGGGGGGGTCTCCCTTGGCCTTAAGTCCCATCTAGCCTGGCTGAACAATACGAGGAGCAGTTTATGATTATTTGTAACTGTGTTTGACCAGACGAAACAAGTCACTGGCCCCAAAGGTCACCGCGAGGGACTTCTCTCATTTAACTTCGGCTCTGGCATGTGGAGAGACCTGCCAAAGGCATGACTTGGCTGCCTGCAGAGCCTGGAATCTGCACGGCTGCTTGGGATCCTCTTCGGATGAAGACAAAAATACCTTTCTAGGAACTTCATTCCCGAGAACGTGACTTTTTCTCTCCTCTCTCCATGCTGAGAGAGATCTAAAATGGAGCGTTTTACGAGAAATCTCAGCCTGAGAATTGTATTACCTGTTTTGGCCTTGTTCAAGGCATGTTGGTTTACTAGCCGTTGTGCAGCTTTCGGTATCGGATAAAGTGGCCAGCACAAACAGGGCTTCTATTACCGTATCCTCAATGCTGAAGGCAACTGGCCTTGAAAGGCAAAAATAAGGCTATGCTCAGAGAGAGGGCTAGAATCTGCATTTACATGGAGGCTGCTTCGCCTCACACACACAGATGCAGAAACGGAATAGTTCCTTAAATTGCATCCATATTTCAACTCCCCCAATCCCTGACGAAAGTATAGCTTGCCAATCCATCTTAGCACGATATAACAATGTTCCTTGCTAACCTTCCATTTTTCATTCACCAACTGCAAGCCTCAAGATGGCAAAATAATGAAATAAAGCTGTAAATTCTCCCCCCCCCCCCCGCCACCAATTCGGGAGAATATTTGCATCTTCCCCCACCCTTTTGCCTCTCTTTCTCTCCCCTCCATTCGGTCTCTCCTGTTGCAACCTCTTACCTCCTCTCTCTCTTTCCTGCTCCCCTATTTGCCTATGCAAAACAGGATTGGCCTCAGGCTGCAGCAGGACCCAAGAGCGATCATGTTCCCAAATCCTATCAGGGCTACAGCAATGCTGGGGCCTCACCTGTCGGCTTAAAGGTTTAGGGGGCAGCCTTAAGGAGCTACCTTTGTTTTTCAAGAAGCCAGGAATTCCATTCTAATCAAGATCCATCACGTGTCGCCTTATGTCCTCCTTAACAATGGAATCCTTAACTTGGCTGCTTGGCTACAAAGGTAGACCCTGTGCTTTGCAATAGAAAAATTTCCTTTTGTTAAACATGTCCCCAAATCGCCGCGTTCCTTTGAATCGGATTGCCCGCCTTTCAACCTCAAAATATCTCGATCTTTCTATTGATAGGGGTCTCTCTTTCTTGGAAACCAGACACCCTATGGATCGCGGCAATGAACAGAGTTGTTCTCAGCCTGTGTTCCTTTCTTCTGAAAAAATTCCACACCTTAATCGGGTGCTGTCATGTTATTAGCGCACGTGCTTCTCTCTTCATATTATATATGGTTCTTGTATGGTGCGTGTAGGGCAGGGGTAGGCAACCTTGGCTCTTTTATGACTTGTGGACTTCAACTCCCAGAATTCCTGAGCCAGTCATAAAAGAGCCAAGGTTGCCTACCCCCGGTGTAGGGTAATCCTTAGAAGTGTGTTATTTCTATACTGTAAGTTCCACATGCGTACAAATGCATTTGTGGACACTTGAAGTGATTTTAAATCTATTCTCGCTAAGCTTTCGGAGTTTTAAAACGAGGCCGTAAAATATGGCACCACTTTCTTACAAGGAAAAAGATCTACCTACTTTCCAGAAACATCAAAATGAATGGAGACTGGGGCACTGACAGCCTCTGCAAACACCAGCAGACCCTAAACACAAGTGAAAGAGGGGAGTTAATTCAGCTCTCCAAGAGAAGAAGAAGAAGATATGAATTCTAATGCTTATCACTGTAGCGTTTATTACTAGATTTCATGGTGTATCTGGAGACATTTGGCCAGCCATGGCGGCATATTAAATGCTGGATTCTATGGGATATTAAGATTTGATGCAAGAAGAACATCAAAAGAATATCTGAATAACATTTGCTCCCTTAATCCTCCTTTCCTAATGCTGCTGTCCAAATGAGACACTCCAGCTGGTATTTTATGGGAGGGTACCATTCATCACTTTGAAGTAGACCCTGCAACCGAGACAATATAATTAGCCATATTACCCGCAGCTCTTTAAGGCAAAATGTGACTTCCGAATCCACTCCGACTTGAAAATACTCAAATTCGTCAGGACTGAGATGAATTTCTGTATGCGTTGCCTTTGCAAATTCTGTTGAAATAAAAATGGTACGGGATTAAAATTGACTTTAAAAAATACAGGTTTGTTGAGAATTCCTGGAATGGTTAATAAAAGTTTGATTAGCGTATAACACGGCTGGAGACCATTTCCATCCCATGGTCACAGGTGAGCTTTCAGCTACCATATGCCTTAAAATGATATATGTGAAGTCAATGCAGAACCATTCCAAATATCAGAAAAAAAGTACAGACCACGACAATTAAACCATGGATCTGATTAATACAGTGAATTCTGGTGCAAAAATGAAAGTGTATTCGATAGCTTCCTACCTATAAGCTCTTATCAATTTGTAGGAAATTTGACCACCATTATCAGGGTAATTTTGAACGTCTCTTTCATTGTGGCTATTCTTTATAAAAAAAGTGAACAGGAACAAAATATATTTCACTCTTTACTGTTTTTTTAAAAGCGGTTTTGAGTTCTCTCTACTTTGAATATTTAAAAGACATTTTTTGATTGTATGATAAACTATGTCATGGACGTACAGAGACATTTTTCTTACAGTAACTCCTTGCACTCAAGATATAGCAAATTCAAAATTGTATCTTTAATCCCACCACGGAAGCATAATCCTCACCCATCTCATCCTCTAGATAAGTCTTGAAGCAAACTTTCATTGGTGTTACACCTAAAGTTATTTCTTCTTGGTACATCGGAAAATGGATCAAGATGTCAGACAGCTGCCTGAAATGAACAAAAATCTGGATAATTAATTCAGCTTACAAATTGGGCAGCGCCTATTAAATTCTCTTTTTGTCTCTGAATTAATAAGGCTGAGATCCCTTGGGTGACAACCTACCATTCGCATTTAATTCAACACACATGATCAGCCACAACAAAACAGGCCAATTGCTAATATGCCTACTATGTTACCTGGATTGGACTTTCAGTACATTGGTACACAAATGTTTTGCAAACACAGCTTGAAGAGGTTCACACTCCTGGAAAGCTAAGCTATGAGTTTTCACCACACCTGATGGAAAAGGATAGGATATCAAATCAAAGTCTGTCTGCAGACTACCACAAACGAATGTGAAATGAATTGACTGTCGTATTTTTATTTCAGCATGATTAAATAGGAAGTATGCTAATACTATCACTGATGGTGTTACCTAGTTTGGGTCATGAAGCCTCTGCAAGAAAACAGCCAAGCTCAGAGAACACCAAGGCCCCCGTATTTCAACAAATATTCTCCTTTATCGGAAGGGTGCTAAATATGTTATCTACCATGTAAGTGGAGGAGAAAAGGGGGAACCATCTGCGCTCACGAAAGCAAGATTTGGGAATGGCCTTGAGAATTTCTCTCCATGAGCCCATCATCTCCAAAGCAAAAAGTGACGGATGCAGAAGCTTGCTGAATTTAGCAGCTGCCCTAGGAATCCACTTAAAGCAACCCACTTAATAACATGGTGATTTTTTTTTTAATGTAGTACCTCTTCATATAGAAAAATCAATCATCTGTTTTTTATAACATTGACTACCCAGCTCCATGGCAGACCTGTGTTGATTAAACAGGTCAGCTGTTGCTCTCTGGTGGACAACATACAAAATAGTTTAAATTTTTCGAAAGGGCTAGGATTTTTTCCCCTAGCAATGGCTTCCATAGCATGCAAACTTAATTAAAAATATAGTGCCAACTGACCCATCTGTAGCATATTCAATAACTGAAGCAAATGCTAATTATTGATTTAATCCCAGAGTGTTAAGCTGTAAGCGAGCCATCTTTGTAAGCTTCCCAGTGGTGGGATTCAAATATGTGAACAGCCAGTTCTCTGTGTGGATGCCACTTCCGGAAGTCCATTCTGGGCCTGGGCAACAAAAAATTAGCTACCGGTTCTGCCGAACTGGTGCGAACTGGCTAAATCCCACCACTGAAGCTACCCCATTTTTATCTTGAAAGTTTTTCAGAGGATTCAAATCCAGCAGACAATTTCATTTTCCTATTCGTTAATTTGAGACAAAACCCACATGCTCCCTTCAGGCACTCCATAGTTTTTGGGGACAGCACAGGGACTTCCTTGGAAAATTCCACAGTCAAAATATCTCAAACCCAAAACAAAGGTGTGGTGGAGTTCTTTAAATCCTGACAGATAACATTTTTAATGTTGTCTTTCAGGTTATGTAAGACTGACAAGATCATATACTTACCGTGTTTGCAGAATAGCTTAAAAACAATATGGCAATCGCTCACGTCTGTATAAATGTTGCACTCTTCCACATTTCTTTCCAGTGTGTGCAAGCATCGAAACAAAGGCAGAATGGCCTGAAATGAAAAACTGTATTAATGCAGGGATTTCCTGAGGAAAAATGATGATTATATTTTTTTTTCCCAAAGAAAAGTACACACTGATCAAAGATATATTTGAGTAAAGTATACATTTGATCATGCATAGCTTCTCTTATGTATTTCACCAAATAGAACTGTATTTTTCTAGCAATGAAACAGCTTTTGGTCCAAGTGGTTGAAACTTACTTTTATTATTAATTTGCATGCGAGTTGAACAGTGTTCCCATTCAGGCTCAGTTCAGAGGCATTTCCATAGGAATAATTTTGGAAGAAGGCAGATGAAAAGAAGACACAGGCATAGGCCGATCTAGAATTATTTACCGTCCTCAGGAAAAGCTGTGGATAGGAAGAAATGACTACTGATAAGCAAAAGAAAAAAAGAAAAAAAAAGCACAATCTGGTAACATTGGAAGGTGTTTGTTTGCTTCCAGCCTAACTCTAACCACACAAAATCAGCTGTTAACTTTGTTATACTGTGCTAGGATTTCCCAGATGGTGTGGGGAAAAACATTAGATTTTGCAATATGCGTCTCTCGTTACTTCATGGTGGAAGTCCTCGTACACTTTGCACCAATATCAAGTGCGTGTTTGTACATTGCACACCGAATTCTAGGCAACATTTAAGCACAACTGAGCTTGTGCGCTTGGTACAAAGGCTCCCATCCAAGTGAGGCCCTTTGGGGCAAAACAGTGGTTTTCCTTAATGAACAACGGATGCTTCATTAGCCTCGCCCTTGTGTGGCAATATAGAGTGCATTTCTCTGGAACCCATTACTCAGTTCGGAAGTTATTTTCTCCTGGATCCAGGATCTACTCACTCCTTTTTCCTTGGGGTCAATCCAAAATTCATCGCTGATTCTCGCAATGGCGTGCAGAGCCCTCCCAAACACTGCAGGGAAGATTCGGGAAGAGGCGTTAATGTTGCACGATGGAAACCATTTTGGAAGGTAACGGGAGAGCTACGTTTAGCTGCAAATCGTGCAAGGAATTTAATTATATTCGGTTTAGGACCTTCCCGACCAAGGTTTCTATTAATTTCTGAATTCAACTCAGCAGAAATTTTGTTCCTTTCAACAGATCCCCTTAAAATAGATGTCATAATCTAAATTCATTTCACAATCATGTAATAAAATGTGTCTCCCCCCCGATTTTATTAGCATGACTGTCCTTTGGGTTGCACTTTATTCTGATTCTTATACTTACCGATACATTTGTTTAATTGTTGCTAATTTTAATGCTTGGATATTTTATGATTTTATGCTACTGTAAGCTGCACCAGTTTTGTGTGTGTGTACACATGCATACACACACACACACACACACGGGGGATCTGGTAGAATTAAACTTTTTTTTTCTTAAAGCATTGAGGTGCTATACCTCTGACACGGGCGCCCCCAATGACACACTTCATAATGAAAAGAAGAGCGATGCCCCTCCCCAACACGCGTGTCTGGAGAACGTCTGAAAGGTCCCCGCCTCAAGACAAAAACGGCAAATCTCGCCTGGAGGACATATCGCGAGAACTCAGGGAAGTTTTAGAGGGTGGGAATGATGGGGGAAAGACCTTTCTTCGGTGGAGCTACCACTTCCGGTTCTTTTGCAATGCCGCCATATGCGGGGCAGTTGACAACCCCGCTCCGCCTTTATTTCTTCCACCCTTGCTGGGTTTCCATCCTTCACTCAGCTACCCAACAGCGCCGCTAATGTAGGGTTGCAATCGAAGGACTCTAGGAGCCCCGCCTCCTCAGCCTGCGGTCTGGCTGACAGGCGCCTCCTGCTGCAGTGAGCACTTTTGCCTCCTCTCGGCTTCCGTAGTCGGCACTTCCGGAGTTTTGGGTTGGGCTCACCGGAAGCGGCGAAAAACGGGGCCCGAAGGAGCGGCGCTGAAGCTACCGAGATGGTGAGTCGTTCTGGGAGGGGGGGCGATGAGGAGCCCCCCCAAAAGGGCCGGAGGTTGGCCTGGAAACCCAGTCTCGGCCTGTAATGGCCGCGCTGCCAGCCCGGCGACCCTCCAGCTGGCTGGGACGACAACTCCTATCATCCCCACCCAACTTGAAGGGGTCGCAGCATGGCAGTGGTCCCCTTCTTCGTGGGGGGGGGGCGGTTTGAATCTGGTTCCTGCCACGAACACCCCAAATTCAGACAGGCCGTTAATTGGGGAGGGGGAAGCCTTCCTCCCTGGGAAGAGAACATTCAGTTTTGGTCATTGTACATAAATATTCTGCTTCTTACCTCCAATTATACACTGGTTTTTATATGATATATACATACATACATACATACATACATATATGGAGAGAGAGATATTTATATTTATAAAAAAACTTTACATTTCTCTTGTGGGGTGTGTTGGTGCTTCTTCAGAAAAACAAATGAGGGAAGAGGTTAGACCTTTGACCTCTAACCAATTACACATTAATTTTTTTAATTCTGAAGTTTTGCCTTCAGTGTTGCTTACTGTGCTTAGATTTTGCAGGCAGTCCACTTCTGGACGTCATTTGCAATTGTTTCACATTTTAAAGTAACGAATGTGTCATTTTGCGCTATTTTGTTGTCAAGTTAATATCTTGGTGAATTTTGAGCTCCAGGGGTTTCTCTTTTGTCTTCTGACTCTCCTGCATGACTCCCCTTCCTGGTAGTTCTGACGATCTGCCTGCATGACATACAGGTAGTCCTCAGCTTATGACCACAATTGAGCCCAGAATTTCTGTTGCTAAGTGAAACATTGGTTAAGTGAATTTTGCCCCATTTTTCGCCCTTTCTTGCCACGGCTGTTAAGTGAATCACTGCAGTTGTTAAGTTAGTAACACAATTGTTAAGCAAAACTGGCTTCCCCCCCATTGACTTTGCTTCTTCAAAGGTCGCAAAAGGGGATGCTGCTACCGTCATAAATACGAACCAGTTGCCAAGCATCCAAATTTTGATCACAGGGATGCTGCAACAGTGGTAAGTGTAAAAAAACAGTCATAAGTCACTTTTTTCAGTGCCGTTGTAATTTGGAATGGTCACCAAATGAACCGTTGTAAGTTGAGGACTACCTGTAACTCACCTGCTTTCATGATATGTAAGGCAACGGCGTATCTATCATGATGGTGCTTAGCTAACCCTGGGAAGTCTTACGATCTACCTGTGAAATGAGCCACCATGTGTAACATCCTAGTAGGAAATTCTCTGTAATGTTGAGAAGAAGCGAGAACAAGGGGTAGTAAATCCCAAAAGGAGTGCAATAGCAACCAAACTAAAATCCAAGAATCCAGGTTTTAGAAAACATGATTCAAACTGATATCCATGGTTATTCATAGTTTAATATCCCAGGCCTGGTTTTACACTTGACTATATGGAAATCATAAGCTTTTTTCATGATATTTGTTTAGGATATTTTGGTTCGTCTCCATCCCAGGCTTTCCTACCCCAAAAAAGTCCGTTGCTAAAATAAGCAGAATCCACATTGGACCTTGCTCTGCTCTAATGGATTGTAAAATACACGTGCGAGGTTTCGCTGGTTTACAAACTAACAATAGGTTAAAAGAGGAAACTGCTGGGAAAGTTGATTGGATAATCCATGTGGTATCACTTGCATAAATCAGATTTATTTTTAACCTTCCCTTTGCTAACATTCAGATTTCATTGATGATTTGCCTATTAATTTGGCTTGAGATTGTTTTCTTTTTCTGTTGCTTCCTTTTAATTTAACACTGTTCATGTCTCACCCCTATTTTTTTTCCATCCCCATCTCCACCCCTGCTGCCCCTCCACCCTTTGCTCTTGTCTGCAATCAACCTCTTCATCCAATAAGGCTGGGCACAGAGTAAGTTGGTTCATCTTGGCCTCTTGCTGACGGTGGTGGTGGTAGGTGACAAATTCTTTTAGCAGCTTTAAAGAGTAGAATCCCCTTTAAAGGATGGCAATATGGTCAGTAGCTGATGGAGTGAAAGCTTTGCCCTGTTTCAGCCACTTAGCTTTAACTCATTCTTTTCCAGTTTGGTGCCTTCCAGCATTTCTGCTGGAACCTCAGCTTATGTTGAGTAAAACTTCCTGGAGTTGCCATCTCAACACAACTGGAGGGCACCACGCTGGCTGGGGAATTCTGGGAGTTGAAGTCCATAGAGCTTAAACTTGCCAAGGTTGATAAACACCACCCTAGATCCTCAAGGCACAGTCTCCGCTCCCTCAGTGAAATCAACCGTAGAGCAAGTGCCACCTTGAGAAGTCAGAAAGTTGGCAATTGCCAATCTGTCCGGTAGTGGCACAGCCAGCAATACCTTTTGGGATCCTGCTTTTCTTCACCAAGGACAGATGTGGGGCCTAGAGCCAATTTTCAAGCCTGCAGGAACTACTTTCCTTATTGGCCTTGGGTGTAAACGGCATCTATTTAAAACAAAATATTTCAAAGGACGGGATATTTTGTTTTTTTCTGAAAAAGTAGCTCTGTATAATCCCTGCAATTTTCTACTTGCAGTTGTCTCAAACTTTACGGCCTGTTCAAACTGTTGTACGTGGGGGGAAGAAAACTGGAGCAAGTTGCCTGTATTTTTTACAATTCAAAAGAAACCATTTGGATCAAGTCATTCTTTTTTACTTTCCTCCAGTCTAATATATCCTCACCCTCGTGGTTTTATCCGCAATGGAATCCAAGTAGCTTATGCTTTTTTCAAAAAAAAAAAAAAATACCCAATTGCAGCGGGATTTCCAAATCTTCTTCTAGAAGCTAGCAGGTCTCAGGGGCATTTATTTCTCTCCACTGCTGGAAAGTTGGTTGATGCATTGCTAGAATCTTAACTGTCTCTCCTCTCTTGTCCTAAGTTGGTGTTAGTGTTGGGCGACCTTCATATTCCTCACCGCTGTAACAGCCTGCCGGCTAAATTCAAAAAGTTGCTGGTTCCGGGCAAAATCCAGCACATTCTTTGCACCGGGAACCTTTGCACGAAGGAGAGCTATGACTACCTGAAGACCTTGGCTGGCGACGTTCACGTCGTGAGAGGAGATTTTGATGAGGTAACGTTTGACGAGGCTGCTGCGAGCTGGGATTTCTGCCTGGATATTTTATCAACCTGTTCTGTATCCTTGAGGGCTAGTTTTTTTTTTTAAAGGGTTTATCCTGCAAGCTTCTGTGTATGGAGATTTGTGTTACTGTTCTATCATGTATTGTCTTATTAGTGTTTCTCAGCCTTGGCTGCTTGAAAATGGGTGGTCTTCAACTCTTGAGAATTGTGCTGTTCTTTGAAGATTTGTCCCCAAAAAAGAGAGGACATTTTCCTCTGGAAGGGTTAAAAGAGGATAACGCCAAAGGTCTTTTTTGCTTGTCTCATTTTCATGCTCTGCCTTCAATCCTAGAATCTGAATTATCCTGAACAGAAAGTGGTCACTGTGGGGCAGTTTAAGATTGGGCTGATTCACGGCCACCAAGTCATTCCCTGGGGCGACGTGGCCAGCCTCGCTCTCCTGCAGCGCCAGTTTGACGTCGACATCCTGATTTCGGGCCACACAAACAAATTCGAGGCATTTGAACATGAAAACAAGTTCTACATTAACCCAGGTTCAGCAACAGGAGCCTACAGCGCTTTGGAAAAGTAAGTGATACCTCACAAGAAACTGCTTACCTGGGCATAGGTAGCCCCGATGCCCTGCAAATATGTTGAGCTTGAATTCCTAGTATGTAAAGGCATCTGGTTTGGAAATGCTGCATTACAGCTTGAATAAATACAACATTTACACCGCTCTTCGTTCCTGGCAGTGAGAGATTTACTGCTACACGAATTCTCGTCTTCCCCTGAGCTGCCTTATGTCAGGACTCCGGATGCCCTCAGCAAAATAATGGGTTGTTTTTTTTCCCTTCCTTTCCTTTCCCAGCAACATCATCCCTTCGTTTGTGCTGATGGACATCCAGGCCTCTACGGTTGTTACCTACGTTTATCAGCTGATTGGCGATGACGTGAAAGTAGAAAGAATCGAATACAAGAAGTCTTAAAAGCAAGGGGTCCTCACCTAACTCATTCCAGGTTTTTTTTTTTGTTGTTTGCAATACACACCCAACACTCTGCAGAGTTTGTAGCCTCGAGAATTGACAAGGTTACTTCTCTTATCCTGTTGTAGGCAACTAAGTTTACCTGACCTCTGACAAAATCTGGCTTGGTTTAGCTCCCCCCACCCTTTTGACCTCCCAAAACAGCTCCTGCTTGTAAATACTACTCAAAGTGTGCAGCAGAATTCTGCCTGTTCATGTGAACTGTCTTATTCAACTGTCCTATAATAAATACTACTTCGGTTTGATAAAGATTATTATTAAGATTATTTATGGCAACCGTCCAGATAACGTTCATCTGCAGGTTATTTCATCTCCAAGCCACTTGGCCCTGGAGGATATTAATTTAACACGCTCAGGTGCCTTAAAGGTCAGTGAAAGAGCAGGAGAGCCATGTTTTCACAGATATATTTATTTACATTTATTTATTAAATCACGGAGAACCTTTGCATCTCTCCTTAGATAAAAACATTCAGTATTATAATGTTGTCCTGTAGAAAAAGGAAGGGAAAAAGGAACACCATCTTTGGGGACGCTACAGCTGAGTTTCTGCCAGCTCACTGAAGTACATCTGGAAGGAAATAAAAAGTGCCGAGATAAGATTTCTTCCAAGGATCAGATAAAGATAAGTGGAATTGAGTTCTGAAGCCAGAGCAAAGTCTGCATCACCTGATCCTTGCTTTTCCAGGTCATGGAAGTATTTTTTATTAGAGGCTTCTCATATCCTAAGGTAAATAGTTCACCAATTCCTGAATTGGATGACTAGGCGCAGGGCTAGGCAACCTTGGCTCTTTTATGACTCATGGACTTCAACTCCCAGAATTCCTGAGCCAGCTATGCTGGCTCAGGAATTCTGGGAGTTGAAGTCCATGAGTCATAAAAGAGCCAAGGTTGCCTACCCCTGGACCAGGGCTATGACCTGGCCTAGGAAATTTCAGCTGGTGAAGGGTGTTTTTGGCAGAAAAACAGAATAGCATACTTCGTTTTTTTCTGCAAATAGGCCTTTCAGGGCGATTTAAAACACACAACGGAGTACCTTCACAATCTCGGAAGCCGTCTGGTTTGGCGGGAGAGTCATTGCAGGCTTTTGAAGATATTCCGTTATTAGAGACGCTGCCTCCTCCATCCTGCACAGCCCACAAAAGAAGACGGCGAAGGTTTAGGGAGAGACCTCTTTGCACGGGCAAAGACACATTTGCATAGAAGAGTGTTTTCCTTAAGATATAATTTAGGGGTTTTTGGAAAGCTGAGCTTCCCAGGGAAATTTCCCCGGGCGGATCCGAATGAGCACTTGATGGCTTCCCCAAGTTCTTGATGGAAAGGCGAGATAGAAATCTATTAAAGAACTGGGGATTCAGAGGCGTCTTTCCCTCTTCTGTACGAAAACCAAACAGAATGGGAAATCCAGACCTACCTGTTCTGAGCCACAAGTTTTTCAACCAGGCCTTTCGCTTGGCCGGGACGCCTTTCCTGTAACTTCAATAACGGGAAATATTTGACATCCACCAAGTCCTTTGCCTCGCCTTCGTGTAGAATGTAGTCCAGGATTAAACTCCTGATCTGCAAAGCAGTGGGAAAGTTATTTTATTTGTTAGGAAATTTATTCGCTGCCCATCTCGTATCCGACGACTCAAGCATGCTCTGGACGACGAGCAGGTGAGCCTCTGGCCAGGTACTCTTTAGCCCACCTGTGAAGCCACACCGGCAGCCTCGCCCAGGCTCAGCTGCTCTTCCGTCTGCTGCAGCAGCCGCTCGAGGTCGGACGAGGACAGCAAGGCCTGTCGTGGGAAAACAGGGCCAGCTTGTGAAATCCCGTCAGAAACGGCAGGAATATTCCTGGATCTCCTCAACCGAAGAGCATCCAGACTCTGGGAACTGCGATCACCGCACATCGGGAGAGGCACTAGGTGGGGAAGACGGGCGCCTTCGCTCACCTGAATCTCCTGGGCTCTTTTCTCCGGGTAAGGAATCAGCACCAGGCATCCGAGAGCCAGGCCCACCAGGTCTAACTGGGCGTATCGCTTGGCAATCCCAATTAAATCCAGGTCTGCCAGGACGGGACACCTTTGTGAAGTCGGAAAATGGTTACCTTGGCCATAAAAACCAAACAGCCAGATATCTGGATTGATAAGCCCTAAAACTCAGTTCTTGAAATATACGGCGAGAGGGTGGAGAAATTAGATTGGTTTAAAAAAAAACCAGCTCCCATAGATTAACAACTCTTGGTAGATATAGATATAGAGTTATCTGGCTGAGAACAACTCCATTGTTATTACTGATAGGAAAAAGAACTGATTCCCGCCCCCCATGTTACATGTACTCGTTCTTTATACAGGAAGTCCTCGACTTAACAAGTTCATTTAGTGACCATTCAGTTACAACAGCCCTGAAAAGAGTGACTTATGATCGTTTTTCACACGACGGTTGCAGCATCCCCATAGTTTTGTTCCTCTACTTACATCAGAAGCATCTTGAAACTCCTGCAACAGACTTCTAGTTGGTCGGGATTTGGTGGACATAAAGCTTTAAAAACAAAAGACAAAGAGAAAAGATTCCTGCAGGTGAGAATTCACTCCCCTCTTGAGACGTTGCTGAATTTCTGCCGTCTGTTCCAAAGACCGGTTCTCCATAGGATGGTTTGTGGCACGAAGGGAACAAGAAAACCAAAACAACAACACTCACCTGAAAGAACCGGTGCCAGAATGACACTGTGCCAGGCTCGGCTGTAATTCGGGATCTGCAGAAAGTCGAAAAGATTTTAAAATGCCACGGAACAAAACTGGAAAATGGACCAGCCCATTATGAAACATGACAACCCCTTTCTGTTGGCGAATCTATGATTATTTCATTAAAATAAGAGAGTTGGTAGAAAGCATTTGTGCTTGACGTGGTAAAAATCTACACACCAGCCATAAGGAATAAATGCCAGAGGTCTCTACTAGAACTTTCCTCAAATAGTGGACCTGAAAAGCAATAGAGTAAAACATGTGAACAGCATCTTATTGAACAGTGACGAAAACCTGAGTTATTCCCCCCCCCCCTTTGCATAGAATTTGGACTGCTTGGGAATAGTGGAGAACAAGTCATTAAGCAAGTCAAAAAAAAATTAACTGAGGTTTGATTGCCATAATCCTACAGGCAAACCCACCTAACTTGCAATCGGTAGAAGAAATCAGTAAAACACAATGCAACAAGAAAACGGGATCGAGAAAGGCAAGGAAAACAAAAGCGCTCTTAATGTTAGAAGGATCTCAAAATAAGTGACAATAACCAGCTAATGGTTATAAGGGAGAGAACGCGGATCGTTTTTAACCTTTCTCAGCTAAGCGGATGCCAAGACTCTGTAAATAATCCTTTTCCTTAAAAAAAGCACACCTCCGCTGATCTTAATGGCTTTTTTTTTTTTTATTTCTCCCCCCCCTCTAAACATACAGGAGTGAAGCCAATGCTGAAAAAAAAAGGGTCTTACCATTTTGAACCCCATTAGCTTCTGTAGCAAACCGTTCCAAAGCACGGGATCGTGCACTTTGTATTCCATACAAAGCTCCGCCACCAGTTTGACTGCCTGAAAGTGGAAGTTTTGTGCGAGAGCGCCGATTGAACACCGATTGTACATCGGTGCTTCTCAACCTCAGCCCCTTTCAGCTGCGTGGACTTCAACTCCCAGAATTCCCCAGCCAGCAATTGTCACCTTGGGTTCATGACTGTGGTTCTTCCACAGCCCTTTAATCAAGCCTTCCTTCGGGGCCCTCTGGAAGGACTCGTAGGTGTAAGGGATGTTCAGAACTTCCAGCTCTGCCAGGTAAATTAAGCATTTCATGAAGTTCCTGGTAGGAAGCAGAAAAGCAGAACGCCCGTATGTATGGCGAGAAAGATTTATGAGGCTCTTACCTTGGCCAGTTAATGTAAAACAGATGACGGTTTTGATTTCAGCAGAGAGACGTGAGCAAGGAGGAAGAGGCAGAGAGGAGCTGGGAAAAGTTACGAGCAGCTACACAATCGTAGAAGTTGGACCGAGGTTGAGAAAGAGCAGAATTTGCACTGGGTGGCCTATAAAAGTGATTATCCTTCCTTCCTACTGTATGGACAGGCTCACATTCAGGGGAAAATACTCTGCCACAATTAAACAAATTCCCTTTAATATAATTCAATGAACTCACTTTACTTGGAGTCTAAGGCTAAGTAGAGTTAGAACTAGCTTTTGTACTGACAGTTTTCCCCACTGCCAAAACAACCCAGTTTACAGCTGAATTCTCACTTGGTGCCTGAGCGCAGCCTAGGTGCGTGTGTGTTGTTGTGTTGTTGTTTTTTTGGGAAAATGTCGCTAAGACCACCCCAAATGGGAGAAGACCCTCACCTGACTTTGTTCATGGGGATTTTGAAGAGCGATTCAACAGCGGCAGGATCGGCCAGGAAGAGCAGACACCGCAACGCTCGGCTCCGGTGAGCGAAGGTCAGCTGGTTGACCCCTATGGGCTGAAACAAGGGGAGACGATGGGTCTTTGGGGGTTTGCGATGGTGGCGAATATCTGCAGCTCAGGTGTTGGATGAGGGTGGAGGTTCGTTCTCCGAGCTTTGGGGTTGGTTATCGAATGTTTCGTTATCATGCTAGGTAGCCTCTTCAGTGGATGAAGAGGGGATGTCTGCGTTGGTATTCCCTTTTTATAAAGGCATCATACTCCATAGATTTACTGTTAGAGTTTCCTTGGAAACTTTGTATGTTCATGGAAAATATACTATTTCAAAAGGGGAATTAGTGTTTTTCAACTTTGGCCATTTTAAGATGGGTGGACTCCAATTCCCAGAATACCCCAGCCAGCAGAGCTGGCTGGGGTATTCTGGGAATTGGAGTCCACCCAATCTTAAAATGGCTAAGGTTGAGAAACACTGAATTGTAGTATAGGAATTAATTATAGGGACTTACAGAGGTGGTAGACATGGCACATTCGTAAAGAATCCTTAACTGATTATCCACTGGGTAAAGTTGAAGAAGGTATATAATTCTGCAGAAACAAAAAAACAACGTTTTCTTTCTCAACCATCTTGATTATTTTCTCTGCGTAGAATAGGAGGTGCTAAACCACTTCCTCAAGGGGGTAAATTTAGAGTAAGCCCAGTTGCCTCATGTCTTCAATCCCTGACGAATGGAACCCTTCCTTTTTCCTCATGTGATTTTAAATCAGTTTTTTTTAAAAAAAAATACAAGCACACAAATGACAATTATTTTCAAAACTGTGGTCTGGAGATTGCTAAGATCTCTCTTTTTTCCACCCCTTGTAAAACAACAGCCTATTTCCGTTGAAGGGAAACACACACACACACACAATCTTGCGCTAGCCGGCCATCGCTTACCGCTTCAAATCTTCATCCTCTTGGACATTTTCGGAACCCCCAGAGGCCTCCTTTTAAAAAAGCAAAAAGCAAAAAAAAACCCACCTGGTTGTGGGAAGCTGAATTCTGGTGACAAAGCTAATTAAATGACGGATGTTCTTCCTTGGAAGACCGAGGAAGGAACAGGACCAAGGGATTTTTGCTTCCTCTATGCCAGGTCAGAATTCTCTCCCTAAGCCCTTGTATGCAAGTTTTCTAATTTAATTCAGCTTTGCTCCATGTTAAAATGCCTTTTCAAGGATTTATTCGTTAGCTTTTATTGTTTCCCTGGAACTCGGGATTTAATGCTTTTGAGCAACAATTGCTATTTGATAGATCAGTGGTGGCGAACCTGTGGCACGCATGCCAGAGGTGGCACTCAGAGCCCTCTCTGTGGGCACGCGCGCCATGCCCCGGAGATGGCAACCGTCCTCTTCAACCAGCCGCCCGCTAACTCGCCGAGGTCCCACGTGGCCGGATGCATGCCAGCACCCATGCGCTTGCTGGCCTCTGTGTGCGGAGGCTGATGGTGTCAAGCAGCAGCCAGCCCGGCCCCTGCCTCGCCTTGCCCTGCGACAATGGCAACCCCGCCCCGCCCTGTCTTGCCTCGCCTCACCCCACAGGACGAGCCTCCTGCCCACCGCCCCACCCACCAGAGACCTCCTGGATCTCCCCCAACCCTGCCCGGCCCCCACAGGCATCTCTCCCCAGGAGCAACATTGAGCTGGCCACGCCCACCCTGGCCACACCCACCCATCCAGTGGGCCACACCCACCCAGCGGGCCATGGGCACCTGGCGACATATAAGTGGATTTTGGGTTGCAGTTTGGGCACTCGGTCTCTAAAAGGTTCACCATCACTGTGATAGATGGACCATAGTAATAGCCTTACTGACGTTTTCTGCCTGGGTGTGAGCTACAGAATGAAAGCAGGTGCCTTTTAATGAAAACTGTTAGCCTGAAAAGGTGTCTCTGGTGCCACCTCAGAACACCTGGCTAGCCAGGCAGAAGAGGCCGAACCTACCCCTGTCAGGAGGACGTTCGGACACAGCCACCTCTCCAGCAGCGTGTCCCAGATTTTCTTCAGATCCAGGTTGTTAATCTGTGCGATTTCTCTAGCAGCAGCGTGGATGTCTACCCAGAGAAGAGGACAAGTTGGTGAAGGGCAAAATCTTCCTTTGTCTCAGACCTGTCTCAGCTCAAACCTCTTAAGTAAGAGAGGTTCCTTAACACCATTTGGGTGAGAAAGGCACGGTTTACGAGAAGCCAGGTTCGAGTTGAGACAGGTCTGACCCTTTGCTCACGTCTGTTCTACTCCCCTCGCAGGTCGTTCTTGCCAAGAGGCAGAGGTCTTGAGCTCACCTGGATAGTCTCTCCCAGTTGGATTTTGGATTCTCTCAGCGATGCTGCTGTGCTGATAAAGCAGAATGATCAGGTTGGCCGGCTTGCCGAGGAGCTTCTGATGGTCCTCCGAGTTCAGTTTCTGGGCTGCCAACACAGCTTCCGTGGCCGCCTTCTTGTGCTGCCCCTGCAGCTTCTTCAGATGTACCTGGGCCTTCTCACGAGAGTCGTCCTTTGAGAAGCAGGTAGAACATGCTTTGCATCCCTCTGCAATCGGGATGCCATCTCCCTCTGCCAATATGCCCCTTTGCACCTGATTTTCTCAGACATTCAGAGGGAAGATTGGCTCAGGAGGGACCAGCTGTAATCTCTGAATTGTCTTCCTCATTAACCATGAAACACTGGAAGAGTCTACAGGTCTATCCTTGTTTACCCCTCCCCCCCATTATGGGTCTGTGGGAAGAGGCCACTGGTGTCCCTTAAATTTGGGGTGGCATCTAACGATTGTGGCACACGTTACGATCAAACAGGAACTACCCATCTGCCTAAAAATGAACTACTAAATTTGTTGCAAAAGAAAATGGCAGCAAATGAGTGACTGTGTAGAGCCTGTGACGAAGACTCGCTCTGTAACGCCCTGAGCGTCCGATGATGGAGGGGTGTGTTTGTTTGTGTGTGCGTGCGTTTGTGTGTACGACTGAGGGAGTGCAGCAAAGCCTCAGTGGCAGAGTGATACAATGCACTTGACGCAGCTAAACCGCCAAAGCAATCTGTAGGAGAGGACGTTAAATTCACCATTGCTCCCAGGGAAGGAACCACAGGTCTGCTAGAATTCCCAGCGCCCTGCTCTTCAGCACAGGCTAGGATGCCGATAGTTAGCAGTTTATATTATGCATCTCTGGGTGCAACTCTAAGCTGTTCTCTGAAAATATGGAAAGGTTTCACCGTACCGTTACTGTGGGATTCCTCAGCCATGTTTCTGCTAAGCCGAGGCATACTGTCAGAGTCTGGACCTTGGTGGGCCCTGGGAGTAAAGTGGAGAAAAGAACCGGGTTCATAGTCTCCAGCCTCTCCAGACACACAACCCACCAGATGAGGCAAAAGTCCTTCACTGCAGGACCCAAGAGACCTGCGATGGAGAAGAGCTGGCTTCTTAAGGATCTATAGTTGAGAGGATGGATCTCATGGGAAGCCAAAAAGAGATTTTGGTTTGGCTCGGTCTGCTGAAGAACGTCTGCCAATGGTAGGTTATTTAATAAAGAGCAAACCACGGCTTAACCCGGTTTTAAAGGATAAGGTTCCCCTGTCCAGTCGTGTCCAGTTCCAGGGGACAGTGCTCATCCCCATTTCCTGGCTGAGGGAACCAGCGTTGTCCAAGGACACTTCTGTGGTCATGTGGCCAGCATGACTAGATACCGAGCTGCACAGGATGCCGTTATCTTCCCACTGAGGGGGTACCCATTTATCTACTCGCATTTGCATGCTTTCAAACTGCTGGAGCAAGGAGTGGGAGTTCACCCCATCAAGCGGTGCTTGGGTCTCGAACTGCCCACCTTCTGGTCGACAAGCCCAGCATCTTAACCGCTAGCTACTCTTAAACCAGCATCCCTCTGGAACCAACCTGTCGGAAGCTCTTGAGCTATCTGGTGGGCGAGGGCTGTGGCCCATTCTGGCTTCGTGATCGCCAGCAAGTACGACTGGACAGCTTGCATGGTTTCCTCCGTCCTCTTGTCCACTGGCCATATCTGACCACTGCTTGCCGCCGCTAACAGTTTGGGCTTCAACTGTTCTTGGAAAATGTGGTTCACAGCAGACACGTAGAGGTTATCCAAGGAAACCTGGGCAGAAATAAACAGAGCAGCAAACTGGCACCTGTAAGCAGGGCTGGCCCCCAAACCGATGACCTCCATCCACAACCTCCTCTTTCAGCAAACTTCATTTTGCATCTTTCGCTGATGGACTGAAGCACCAGCCTCAGCTGGGAAGTTGTAGCCAAAGCAGGGTTTTCCTACCAAGTTTTTTCCACCTTTTCATTGAAAGCTTTTGTGTTTTCCTCCTTCAGGGACTTAAAAGAAGAACAAAAGGTACCACCTCGTTACCTTCATGACTTTGCATATCAAAAGCAGCTTTGGGAAGGATTCCTGATTGATTTCTGCAGCTGTGGGGGGGAAAAAAATCAGGGATTTGGAGAAGAAGCAAGCGCTCAATCTGAAGACATTTTTAAAAAAAAAAAAACCCCTTATGAATAACTCTTTTTTTATTTTAAACAAACGTGCACTCACAAATGATCTTCCAGAAGCACTGGGACGTTTTAAAGAAGATCAGATGGAAAGGCAGCCGGGTTTGAGCAGCTGGGGACAGGCACAGCCCCTGATCAAAGACGAATTGATGTTCCAGATCACCCGGAGGACAAAGTCTCTTATAAGACTTCAGGTGTTTTAGGAGCATGTTGGCCTGAAAGGAACAGACAAAACAAGGTGAGTTTCTTCTCTGATTTTTTTTAGAAGCTATAGATACACAATACACACCACTGAATAACATGACACTCAATATTTGCACAGCGTAGCGTTCTAACGGAACACACAGACCAGCATTCCTGGGACAAAACACAATTTTCAGATATTGGCAGCCTGAAAGAAAGAAAGAAAGAAAAAAAGAAAGAAAAAAAGAAAGAGAAAGAGAAAAACAGAAAGAAAAAAAGAAAGAAAACCAGAAGATCGGCTGCCACAATAGGTTCTTGAAAGCTGATGGTCTCCTTATAGACCAGGGGTCCTCAACCTTGGCAACTTTAAGACTTGTGGACTTCAACTCCCAGAATTCCTCCTGAGGAATTCTGGGAGTTGAAGTCCACAAGTCTTAAAGTTGCCAAGGTTGAGGACCCCTGTTAAAGACCAATGGATCAGGCGAGGGTCTGCTTCAGCCTTTTCCAAGAGTTCTTACATTGTGGAATTTAAAAACCGTTCAGCCCCTTTCGTTTAGGGAAGGGCTCCTGCGTGTTTGCCTCAAAATGCATCTTCCTGACTCTGTTTCTGACCCTTGGGAGCTTGTGGTCGTCAACTCCCAGAATCCCCCAGGCAGTCCACGATAATCTAGCCTTTTCTTACCCAGTTCAGTGGGAGGCCTGTGGCTTGCCCTCCACTTCTTTCAATCACGGTCAAAAGAGTTTCAATGGCTTCGTAGTTATATGGGTCCACCTGTTTCCCCAACCAAAAGCAAAGGAGAATGATCAAAAATGTGGTGATTACCAGAGCTTCTTTAAGCAGTTCATCCCTTAATTGGCGGTTAGGGGATCCTCTGTCCTACCCCCTCAGCACCCCCATCCTCAAGCTCGAATCAATCCTGTCCTTCCTCTGTGGGCCTTTATCACCCGTTGTATTAACCAGATAACTAGGACTGGGAAATTTTAAACCCCGGCTTAAATCAAACCAGCATTGTTCTTTCCGGCAAAAGAACATTACGTTACTTTGTGGAGCATTGTGCTGAGGCTGGTCATCAAGCCGGTGGTGCTGCCAAGCAGCGGGATAGTCTCTAGGGCTCTGGCCACCACCGAGGCATAAGGCTCCTCCTTAGCACCCTGTTCCAGTTCCCCTTTCACACGGCTGGCATGCTGGAGCTGGGTTTCGATGTAGACCTGCAGGGCGGCATCCGTGTCTAAGTGGAAGGCTCTGAAAAGCGGAATAAACCAAAAGGGAGAAAGGAGTTAGGGATGGGAAGGAAGGGAAGGGAAGGGAAGGGAAGGGAAAGGAAGGAAGGGAGGGAGGGAGGGAGGGAGGAAGGAAGGAAGGGAGACATGAGAAAAGAAAGAAAGAAAGAAAGAAAGAAAGAAAGAAAGAAAGAAAGAAAGAAAGAAAGGAGACATAAGGGAAGGAAGGGAGGGAGGAAGCCAACCCTAACTATCCTAATTGTATCAAATATTTTCGTGACGTGCAATGATTCCTATATAAGAAAGATCAGGAAATAGGCCATGTAACTCCAGATTTTTTTTTCCTTAGTTGTCTGAATCTGGCTTAAAGTTCTCGTCTTCGAGGTACAGAACGGCAGGGCATTTTCCTTGCCCCTGTGGACTTCAGCTTCCTTACCGGCAGAATTTCAGGATGAGGCTGGTATCTGCATTTGGGTGTTGCACCAAGGTCCTCAGAAGCTCCTTCTTCCTTACGGACGGCATCCTGAATATATTCTGGAAAGAGATCTTAAAACACAAAACACCCATCTCAGCGTTCAGTTTAGCAAAAGGGCCTTTACGGAGTCCTGTTTTCTGACCTGTAATTTCAGGTCTTCAATTCTTGGTGCAGTGATCGATTGTGAGCTGAGGTTCACCCTGCCTCCCCTGTTTCTTGGGCTCAAACAACAGAGCCGCACAACAATCTATTTTATTTTTAGCGCCCGTAAAGCAGTTTTTGCAGAATCCTGGGGCGAACAGAAGTGGCTAGAATTCCACCCTGGCCTTTTATTCCAAACTTGAATATTTCAGCAAAAGGGACTCACCCCAAGCTTTCCGAGCGTGAGGCCCCACTCGGCGTCCATGACCAATTCCTCAAAAGCTTGCTTCTCCTGGGGGTCTTCGTAGTGAAGAGCTAGCTGGCTTCCCACAACAGCCACGGCCTGGGGGGGGGAGGAAAACAGCCTGGGGGGTGGCCTTCCAGGGGCGCCCCCGAGGAGAGGCCCACCAGCTCCGAAGTCCTGCCTTGGGCATCTTTTCCCATGGCTTACCAGGATCTTCTTGTAGTTCTGTGACGTTTGGTTGACGATGTCCCAAAGTTTTCCAAATATCATCGCTCTGGGCAGGAGGGTGCAGTAGCCAAAGGCCAGCTGGTGGTCCACCTGGTGGCTGTTGAACACCTAGGAAGAAAGAGGCTCGGTTCCAAAGCCCCCCGATTAACTGAAACGATCCCCCCTCCCATCTTTCTTGCTCCCCGATGGGCACAGACTCACCTTGCGCAACAAAGCTGTCGTGATGCTCTGGGTCACTGAGGCCGAATTCTGCCTCATTGCCAGGAGGAACGAGCGAGCTTCCTCTAGCGTTTTCTGGTCGTGCAGCTGATGGACACAAAACCAGAAGGAGCAACCAAATAGACATTTTTTAAACATTTATATCCTGCCTTTTTATTTTGACCAATTGCGCAAGGCGGCAAACATATCCAACACATCTTCCTCCTCCTCCTACTTTCCCTGCAACAACAGATCTGTGAGGTAGAGTGGGCTGAGAGGGAGGGACTGGCCCAAAGCCACCCAGCTGGCTTTCGTGCCTAAAGCGGGACTAGAACTCACCGTCTCCTGGTGATTGACCCCAAGTCACCCAGCTGGCTGGTGTGCCTAAGCGGGGACTAGAACTCGCAATCCCCTGCTTTCCAGCCTGAATGGCTAGACCAAACCGGCTTTCTTACTTTTTTACTTAGAGTGAGATCCATGTTGTTGGAGATCATGTGCTGAAGCAGGGACCAGAAAGAGTAGGAGACCAGCCCTAAAGCCAGCTCGTACTGGCTACCTTCTTGGAGGCTGCTAAGCAGAGCGAAGATGGTGTTCTCGCACAAACGGTAACGGTTTTGTCCTACAACAACAAAAAAAAACACATGCTATAACACTAGATGTTGGGCTTATACTGGACCATTGCCCTTTGGAGGTTGACAACCGACTGAAACAGCTGGCTGAAAGACATTTTAGCAATCAGTAGACTCCGGGAAATCAAGACAGGGACAGAAGACATAAGCTGGGGAATTCTGGGAGTTGAAGTCCATATGCCTTAAAGGTGCTGAGATTGAGACATACCACATAAGAGGAGCCCTCGGCTGTCATTGAGGGCTTTCTTTCCACCCACCGTTGCAGAAATATTCAAGTTTTCAAAAAGGAAAAGCAAGAAGGAAGGAAAACCTATCCCTCCGCTGCTGTCTTGCCCATTTATCTTACTCAAACCTCACAAAGACAGCTCGGTCTACATAATCCTGGAGTTACCTTGTTCGAACGAACAGTACGCCAGGCTGGAAGATTCCAGAGGAGCGGCTTCCCATTCTGCAAGAGAAGAGAATTTCGTCCAGGATGAGGCCAAAAGCTTTCTGTGTTGAATTTTAAATGGGCTTAAAGTGAGTGAAACTCGAAGGAAAGGTGGAGGAGGTAGAAGCTACCTGCCAGAGGCACAAGGGAGGAAGCAATTTTGTACGTGACAGGAACCACGGCGGGCGTGTCGAGAACGGCCCCATCTTCGGTGAAGAAATCCTCAAATGTCCAGTCTGCATAAGGGTCTTTACTGGGGTCAAGAGAGGTTGCCTAAACAGAGAACATCACTTGGGCGAAAGAGGCTCCTAAGCAAACAGGCTGCACTTTCCTTTTTTTTTCCAATTATAAAAAACAAACTTGAAATCCTCTCAGGCACAGCCCACCAGGGACAATTTCTTAGTAAATGCAGTGAAACCGAATATTCGCTACTTTACCTGTGGTATAAAGCCAAAATCTTCCATTTGGCATTTTGCATAAATTTCACGGGCAAATGAAGCGTATTTACAAAACTCCGAGATATCTAGAAGAAGATCTGGGAAAGTTGGAGAAAAATAAAGGTGTTTTTAAAAGGAAGACGTTTTCTATTGTCCCCCGACAGATTAAATTTCATCCGGAGGCAAATATAGTTTTAGGAGACACTGAGACGGCACGTAGTACGCAATCACATCCCTCAGATTCCAGCATGTTTTATTTCTGTACTCCAAAAATCAGCCGAGAGAACTGGCCAATATAATATGCGCCAGATTAAAATGTTCTCAGCAAAAAAACAGATCCAGAAAACCTGCATGCAGATTTAAATGGCAAAGGACCAAGGGGGCTTCTGACTCCAGAGAGACCAAGGTTTTGCTGCTGAATTATGTTTTTAATCCTGCCTAATGAGGAACCTTATCCAAGATAACAAATGGGATTTAGAAAAGCTTGTAGAAAAGTTGTATTCAATATACTTCCCTAAAACAGCTTTCTTTTTGAGACATTTTACTGTGCCAAATATATTTTAACGTGAAATATCCCTATACTGGCCCTTCAATTAAAATTATGGAGAAAAAGCCATCAGCTTTGCAGCAGGCCAATTTTTAAAAGTAATTAAAATGGGAACCATGATGTAATTATTTACACAGTTTTGTTTTTTTTTAAGTCAGCAGTCAACGAGCAAAGGCATTTCTAATTACTTACCAGGACTGCAGAGTGTAGCTGCTTGGCAAGCCATCGTGTAGATCGTATCTGGAAGATCTTGTCCTCCTGGCAACACCATAGGGATATTGGACCCCAACATATGACAAAGCTTTTGAGACACCAGGAACAACAGGCGTCCTGTCTCTTCGTTTTGATGGGATTCATAAAAGTAACTTAACGGAATTGGGGGGGAAAAAAAGGAAGTTGTTGTGCACCAGAAGACAAGAGAAGAAACGAGGGATGGAAACTAATCAAGCAGAGAAGCAACCTAGAACTAAAGAGAAATTTCTTAACAGTGAAAACAGCGGAACGGCTTATTTCCAGAAATTGTGGGTGCTCCCTCCATGGAGGTCTAGAGGAAATTGGACTACCATTTTTTCTTATAGGGTCTCCTGCATGAGTAGAGGGTTGATAATTATCAAGACATCGACTGCAACCCAAATGTTTTGTTCACCTGCATATCTGCAACGCCTCTTCGACCTTTCCATCCTCTAATGCGTGGAGAGCCAACGCTGCCCCCATTTCAGCGTCTGACTTTTGCAGGAGGAACCCCAATCTGTACAGCCTCGTTTGGGTCAGCTCCTTCTTCATGCTGGGGTCTCCCGGCTTGGTGTCCCCCCCCTCCTGATTTGTGCATCTCCTTGCTCTTTCGTAGGCTCGGAGGTGGTCTTCCAGGAGCTGAGCCCTCTGTGAGGGATCGCAATAATCTTTGTGGGAAATGCAGATATCGAAACTCTCCTGAAGGCGGGAAAAAAAAAACCCACGAAAATGGCGGAAAAATGTAAGTCAGGCAAGGACGACCTTCAGCAATTACATTTCTGTCCCTGCAGATTGGGAGGGAAGCTCCTTTCAAGGTCTTTTCCACCCCACATTTGTCTCACCTGCAGAGTTACCAGAATTTTAAAGGTTTCTAAATCTTTCTCACGCTCTTCTTTCTGCAAGTGATTTTCTGTCCAAAAAAGGAAGGGGAAAAAAAAAAGCAGGAGATGGGAAGAATAAGAAAGATTACTGAATCGTTCCCTGTTTTTTTTTTGTTTTTTTTTTTAAAGAAAAACATGAATCGTGCAACATTTACCTTTCTGGAGACTAAGCAGGAATTTGAAAATTTCTACCAAAGCCTTTTTCACCTGCAGGTGCGTTTTCTGTGGGTGATACAAATCGAAGCAAAATAAGGAACGAAAGACATTGGAATCCAGATTCTCTGCACAGGAAAAAGACCTCACAACAAAATTCTGTTCTCAGCAAAATAAACCTTTTCTTCAACGGTGTCCACATCTTCCTCCAATCTGATTTTCCCCCAAATCAAGGTTCTCTCAGCAATTTCCACGGCTTCGGATGGAGGCAGAGACTTCAGTAGATCGAGGACGTCTTCTCCCTGCAAGCACATCCCAGGATTAGGTTCAACCCTAACAGTACAGAGGAATATTAAACACGGATATTAAAGGCTTCTAGTCTTGAGCGAGTCCCTCTTGAAAGGAACATTTCTACTGCTGGTGGTTAAGAAACAGGATGACTGAAGTGGAGTCTGCAGAATGTTAATTTCTCACACTCAGCCCCACCGCACAGACGCCCTCCTACCAGGCAACAAATGACCCATCTGCCCCCAGGAACACCAACAGGTCTGAAGACCCCCTTCTACTTCTCCACTTGGAGTTGACTGAGAGTCTGGACCACCCAAAGCTAGCAGGGATGGTAGTAGCTCTTTTCAATAGCAACAACCCTTAGACTTACATACCGCTTCATGGGGCTTTACAGCCCTTTCAAAGCGGTTTACAGAGTCAGCAACCTGACCCCAACCATCCAGGTCCTCATTTCACCCACCTCAGAAGGATGGAAGGCTGAGTCCACCTTGAGCCGGTCAGGACCAAACTGCCGGCAGTGGGCAGAGTCAGCCTGCAATCCTGCATTCTAAGCGCTGCGCCACCGTGGCTTAAGCCCTCTTTGAAAACCTAGGGACTTCCTACTGACCCTGTTCTGTGTGGTCTGTTTGCGCCTGTGTTGTGTGTTTTAAGTGACAAACCGTGATGAAGCAATCTGTCGCTTCGCACCGCGTCTGGGCTTAGAGAAAGGGTACACCTCTTTCCCCTTAGGCTGAATATTGTTCTCACCAGGAGGTGCTGTAGGGAGCCCCACATGGCAAAACATTTGCATTTCCTCTGCTTACTGCGCTTGGATGTTGGAACACGCGAGCCTTTGGGGACCCGATCCGCACCTTTCCTTTGTCGATGAGGTCCGCAATCTTCCAGACGTGGACTTCGGCAGTGGGCAGCATGTACGTCTTTATGAGCTTCAGGGCGTCTTCCAAAGCAGAAGGCGAGTTCTGTTTAAGGATGTATTTGGCCAGCATCTGGGGGGGGGGGAAGAGACCAAGCATCGGGTTAACAGAGCCCCTTCTTAGTTTTTGGGTTTGGGTCAAACCTATGGGATGTTTCTGAGCTTTTATCAAGAGCGTGTGTGTGTGTGTGTTGTGTCCTTACCAAAATCATCTGCTTATCGTTTAAAAGGTTGGTGTCTCGTATTCCGTAGCTCCGCAGAATCTTCTTCATCTCCATCAGCCGGTGACCTTCCTCCAGCAGCTTCACCCTGCCAGGAAAAGACGGCTCCTTTTCCACGGCTGCTGTGCACCATGGAGATGGTTGTCCTGGCTGGCAGGGAGGTCTGGCCCAAGACTCCCGCCAAGCAAGGCAACTCCAGAGCTTTTGAATGACGCAGGACCGCCGGCAGGGTCCAGTGGGCTGCTGAGCCAATACGGGCAGTCCTCGACTTACGACCACAAATGAGAACCCAACATTTTTCTTGCTAAGTGAGACATTTGTGAAGTGAGCTTTGCCCTGTTTTACGACCTTTCCTGCCACAGTTAAGTGAATCACTGCTGTTGAGAAGTGAGTCACCCGGTTGTGACTCTGGCTTCCCCCCATTGACTTCGCTTGTCAGGTCGCAAAAGGGGATCTTGTGACGCCGGGACGCTGCGACCGTCGTAAACGTGAACCAATTTGAGTAGGCAAACCTCTCAAGGCTGCAGAACTCTTTCCTTGAGTGGTCTCAGCCTCGTAAGTGGACTTTTGCCCACCCCTCTCTTACTTGGCATGCCCCATGCCCAGGTACCGCTGCACTAGGTCTTCCACACCTGGGCTCCAAGGGACCACCGCGCTGTGCATCAGGGCCAACACCCCGTCGAAGATCAACTGGAAAGAAAAACCTGATCATTACCCAACTCAACACATTTCCCATCCTGTAATTCAAAGTGGCAATTCCGACTTGCCTCACCTCTAAGCTGGACATGCAGCCCAAGAGCGCTATGGCTTTGGCCTCCCACGTTGTGTCAAAAATGGACGACGATTGTGTGCATTGGCATAGCAGCAGGTCCTGAGAGCAGTGAAGGATTCAGAAAGAGACAAGGGAGTTTGGGAGCGGAAAAAAAAAACTCCCAACCCAACCAAGTCAACCGGAATTGGGGACTTGCCTCTACCTTTATGTACTGCAGGAGAATTTCATCTTTTTCTAGATGATGGCGACACATGTACGGTTCAATATACTTCTCTAAAGCCCCTGGAAGGAGTTCGGCTGCCAGGATTTTGTCAAGCATACAGAACACGATTGTGTTTGCGGTTTTCTAGCGGATAGGGGGGAAAAAACCCAAGACTGATCATTTTCAGAAGAGAAGTGGATCCACACAATATGGGCAGCTGAGCACAAGTCTTCTTCACAATGATTTATTCTCTGTTTTTTAATATCCCACTCTCAAGGATTTGGGGATGGCGTAAATATCGTGTTATATCCTGAGAGCCACCCGTGAGGGCCAACAGAGGTTAAAATCTTACGTGTGAGCCCAAAGAAAGGGCTACGGTTGTCGCCCCAACTGCAAAAGCTTTTGACAGACACTCCCAGACTCTCTCCTTACAAATGTCAGCTCCTACCTTTTCAAAGTCACAGAGAGCCAGCCTACAGTTATATTTCCTGTGCAGATCTACCAAATTCTGTAAGGCGCTGACCAGATCCATCAGGCTCCGGATCTCCTTATCTTCACTGTCCTTCTGAAAAACCAAACACAGCCAAGTGTGGTTTTCTCGAGGCAAAACTTGACTTTTGTTCTTGGTTTGCCATCTGCATTGCTTAGATCGGCGTTTCTCAAGCCTTGCAGCTTTTAAGCTGTGTGGGCTTCAATTCCCAGCATTTCCCCAGCCAGCCAAAAAGACTTACCAAAAAATCCCAGTGGGAAAAAGATGCCAGTCCAATATCACTGACATCTGTGCTGGTAAAAAACACCTGTGCCAGCTCAAGGCCATTTTCTGGCCAGTTGGCCTGTTTGGGGGAAAAAAGGATAGCATTAGTCACTTTTAGGGTGAAGGATACGGTTGCCTCTGAAAACTTGGGGCAATTAAAATGTGCTTACTTTGTCGGTCAATTCGAGGCTTCGAGCACGATCTTCTAACCACTTTGCTACTGTTTTCTGGAGAGAAAAAAAAAGGTTACCTACGTATTCTGGAGAGAGAAAAAAAGCTAGGCTACGTATTCATCTTATACCCAGAGCCTGGATTGGACCAATTAGACCACAAGCAAGCCCATAATTTCTGTTGCTAAGCAAGGCAGTTTTGGGGTGAGCTTTGCTCCATTTTACCATCTCGTTGTTAAGCGAATTGCTGCATTGTTAAGTTAGTAACATGGGTGTGAAGTCACAGGGGCTTCCCTGGATCTTACCTGCCCGTGAGGTAGAACTCGCCTTACGAACGGAAGAACCACCTCCTTAAGCCACAGGCCCAGCTCTTTGAGAGAAAGAGTCCCAGAGATTGAGCTGAGCAGGTCATCCAGCTTTCCCTGGCTAAAGCTTCTTTCCAACTCTGCCTGGTGGAGAAAGAGAGACGTTCTCACAACCGAGGGGTTAAGGTGCTTGTGAATGGCTTAAATATGGGCTGGAAAAGCTGTGCTGGAGGAGACTGGGGAGCTGCTGGCTTAGTGTCCAGCTCTCACAAAGAGCCTTTTGGGACAAAGGAAAGGTTCAGAAACACCCTCCTATAAATCAGAGAGAGCCACCGGCCTCCAATATGGAAGACATTCTAGTTAACTCCAACACAGAAGAAGCACACCTGGAAGCCACTTACCTGATGCCTTAACCAGAGGTACTGGGCAGAAGAGAGCTTTCCTCCTCTGAGTTGTGAAAGGATATAGCTGAAGACGTCCTTATTGTTGACAAACTCGAACCACGTCGTTCCACTGGGGAGGAAAAATGCACAATCAATATTCTCTCGTAGAGAGACCTGCAAATCCCGATATGAAAAGGGGGGCGTTATTTACAACCAGACACACAAACCCCACCTGTATTTCTCTGGCCCGAAAGCCTCATAAAAGGTAGCCAGTTTTGCTTGCGTTCGTAGAACCTGCAAAAAAAAAAGCAGAAAATCCTTCAACGTTAAAACACCGCGAAAAGCAAAACGCTCCTGAGAAAATGCAGCGACAGGTCCTGAAATTAAAAAAACAGAATAGAATAGAACTTGAGAACACTCTATCTGATCTCAACCACATGGAAAGCACAGATCTGTGCTGTTGTTGGCTTCTCTTTACCTCTGTAAGGAGTGAGGGAGGATCCACATTCATGAAATGGGTCACAGCTACATCTTCTTTCTTTTGGGTCTAAGATGGATCAGGAAAATGCTATCTTTATTTCTTATTTGGTGCCCCAAAATCTCAAAGACCCTAAAAATCGAGACCCCCGATTCTGCAAACGCGCCAACCGAAACCTACCCTCATCCGAGCATAATTCAGCATTTCCTGAGCTGTTTCATAGGTCAGCCAAGGAGTATTTATGCAATACTCAACCACAAATGAGTTATCCTAGGGAGAAGGAAATTTAACATTTTTAAAGAGCAGTGTCACGCTCCACCTTCCAAATATTTGTACTTACTACGCACATAGGAAATAGTTACCTTTATTTTATCCAAGGTTTCTTTCGCTTGAAGTACAAGGTTTAGCCAGGCTGATTGATCCTCACTGCCAGCAGAAGCCAATCCTTCCAAAATAGCATTCGCCTTCACTTTGTAGACAAGCTGTATTTGTTAAAAGAATTGGGCAGAGTGTTAAAAGGGACTTTAATTGTCCCTTCAAGCTATTCCTTTCCCAGTGTTCAGCTAGCTTAATATCCTCTAACTGGGATGCTGATTAGTTTTAACAAACGTGGCAAGAAAAGTCGTAAAATGGGGCAAAACTCACTCGACAAATTTCTAAACTTGGCGACATAAATTTTGGGCTCAACTGTGGTCATAAGTCAAGGACTGCCTGTACGTTGCACGATTTGCACAATAATGTCACAGCGCGCATGACGGGAAGCAGGAATCGAAGGAGAATTATTAGCGGCCCGTTACCTCAATTTCCAGTCCAAACTGAAGAGCGAAACTCTCGGCCTCAGCAAACTTGTGCTTGTGGAGTAAACGGCTCAGTCTAAGGAGAGAAACACCGATTCCCAGTCAGAAAAGGCCTCCTTAGCTCTGTGGTTCTTCTCAGCCTTGGCAACGTCCAGCGGGTGGACTCCAAATCCCAGAATTCTAGTCAGCATAACCACTGATGAGAACTCTGGGAACTGAAGTCCCACTGCCTGGAAATGGCCCTGGTTGAGAAACACCCCTTTAGCACATCTCTGCCGTTATTTGGCTGTGCAATTGCAGGATAAAAGCTGACTTGTTCTGGCTGGGATAAAATTCTGTCTTTGAGAAGGAAAGTCTCAAATCTAAAGGCCAGAGAGGACTTTACTGTACGTCCCGGGTTGCTACTTGCTTTTCTGCCAAATAAAACGGCCCAGGACCTTTGATCCTATTGGTTTCAAAAGGAAGAACGCGGCATGGATAGGAAGTCTCCCCAAGTGAAACCAACAGGAGTAAAAAGTTGCTTGCTTTTGCCTACTTATGCCCCATCTGGAGTTTGGGTGGAGCCAACAGCCAAAACACACCCCTCACCTGTTCTCAGGTAAGGCTTCCGTCAAGCTTCTCATTAGCAGAAATGAGACCGGATCAGCCGAAGATCTAGAAGCAAACACGTGGTTCAAAACAGAGTTGTAAGGACAATGGGGAAGCTAGTCTCTTCCATCTTGATGTAATTCAAGGGCAAACTTACTTTTGATTGTTTTCGTACATTCCCTCCATAAAGTAAATTGTATCCTGTGGGATAAAGAAGATTTAGAAAAGCACTTAGTGGTTCCTTCAATAATCAGCAGCTAAGGGGTCATACCTTATTTCATTGTTTGACTTGAGGTCACCACCTTTTAATTGTGGCTTATTCCCAAATCACCAACACACACACCGTAGGGTAGCATGACATGAGAATTCAGAAGCCACGAACTGGGATTCTTTCCAGATAGGCCAATTTGAAAGCAAGCCAATTTGGCTTGGATAAAAAAAAGATTGAATTTCCTTTCAAATCCAATGCAGGCTCCCCAAAGAACGCATTTCCCGTTCATATTTTCTCACTCATTTTAGCATCAAAGACCAGAGAGGTGCCTACCGTATTTATGACACTCTGCACCAGCGAGGAAACGGGGGTGATTTCCAGAGCATACAGCTGCTGCATGGTTGGCAGTGAAAAAATCACAATGCTCTTCATCTAACAAGACAGGAAGATCAAAAGGGGAAAAAAAGCCCTTCCTGAAATAAGTTTTGTTATTAGTCGGAGACCCAATTTTATAGTCAAAGTCAACCAGGTTCAACTGAAGACAGCATCTTTAATAAAATTTAAAAGTGAATACCTGTTCAACATGATCCGGTGTCGTCAGAGCAACCAGCTTAAGATTGGCAGTTCCCAGTCTGAGAGAAGAAAGAAAGAAAGAAAGAAAGGGAGGAAGAAAGGGAGGGAGGGAGGGAGGGAGGGAGGAAGGAAGGAAGGAAGGGCATTCAATGAATCAAATATTTCAAGTCCCTCCAACTTAAAACTATTTCCTTCTTACTGACAAATGATCACTGTAATGAGCTAAACTTCCACCCAGGGAAGGCTGACATTTTCAGCCTTTAAAGGTGCTTTTTTATTCCTCCCCATTGCAATTTACGGCCTGTAGGAGAAAGAAGGCCTAAAGATCAACCGTTTTTTCCTACACTTCTCAAGGGTTTATGCCTTAAGGGGAGACATTACCCTCCTCCTGCCGAAAAATCCGATTCGGAGGTCAAAAGAAATTCTTCAATGTGAACGGAAGGGCAGACCCAAGTCAGAATCAGCAACTGGAGGTCCCACAAGGAGAGCACATCCTTCAAAAAAGAAGAAAAAACACCTATTTTGACATTTCACGTGATCCGTTAAGGACTACTTGTCGCAAGTATCTGGGTGTGGATTCCAGGGGGTTCTCCAGGTGGGACCAGAACGGAGCTTGGAAAATACTGGCTCCTCCGTCAAGGTATTTCTAAAATAAATGCAAACATACGTGCCTGGTCATCTAAGACAAACAGCAAGTTCTCCACGGCTTGAAGCTTCCTTGCAGCTGGAGAAGAGAACAAAACACATCGAAACACAAAAGATAAAATTTCCTACTTAGAAAGCCAGGGATTCGAAAACCGAACCGTCAGGGTCCTAAGGACGGTACTGAAAATCACCCTCATGCTTATCGAGAAGATCTTTAGAAGGACGAGTAAATCTATCCGAAGTTAAAGATTTGGGGCAGGGCAAGGAAAGGGGTTTTGCCAGACTATTAGCAACGAAAAAATATAAACCGTACCTTTCTTATCCTTTCTCTAAAATTCCCAGGCTTAAACAGAAACCCTTCCATGATCATTAAACTTTAAAAAGCCAAAGAAAAACAAACCAAAGTAACAGCATATGATCATCTGCGTGATGGTAAACAGCCCTGTAAAAATCCGTAACTCTGCAAATGCCAGGAGCCCCTACCTTGAATCAAGCTTGAATCAGCAACGTTTTGAATAGAAACCAGGTTTTTATTGGGGTTCACTTCCCACACAGACATCACACAGTTGCCGACCCCCTTTAAGAGAGGAAATGTTGATATCAGGAACCTTTTGCTTCAAGGCAGAAGTTTGCCAATCAACCCAACTCCTGTTTCTTCTCAGGTAAGCATCTAAAAAGCTGTTTACTTAGACCCGGGAACCTCAAGGCAGATAGATCCAAGACAAATGGAAAGTTTTGTCAACTTTCCCTCGCCTGAATTCAGAGCCTAATGCAGCGTACATATGATCATTTCCATGCTTTTGAACAAAGCCAGTTGAAATTGTACCTTAAGCAGCATTCAAATAATGTTTGTGTTACCCCTATTATCAGCGCAAAGGTGTTGGCGGTGTCCATTGTCGCAGAAGTGAAACAGCCAGCCGTGTGGTAATCTTCCACTGCAATGAAACAGGTTTCCACCTGACTTTGTAACTGTTAAGACAAGACAGCCGTTCAGATAGTCTAGCAATAGTAATCCAGACTTTAGGTAAAATCTGGGATAATTCAAAGAATTCAAGCACAAAACACGCACACACACTTCCTCAAATCATTTATTAGATTTAGATGCATGTCATTTACTTTTGACGCAAGAGGCCTGCTCAGGTGGGCCTGAACGAAGCATGTCTGAGCTTCAGCAGGGGGCACCATGTGAAAAGAAAGCCTATTAAACTGGCATTGGGCATCTGCTATTTTTAGGCAACCCTCCCTTGGCAGCACCTGGCAGATCTTGCACAAATCATTTTTGTATTGTTGCCCCTAGAACAGCCAGAAATAGACATCACCTTGAAGGAGATATTATATTTTAAAATGATACAACTGGCTTTCTGCCTCGTGAATAGACACATCTGTCAGCGAAGCAGAAAGGGGAGGTCTAAATTTGGAAAATGCATGCACGCCTGGCTCCAAGTCCCGCTCAGATTTTTTTTAAAAGCAACATTTGCAATAATATTGATCAAGCGCCTCAGATACCTTCTTGACAGCATTGATGTCCATTTCGATAATGGCTGCATAAAGAAAAACATTCATATTTTATCAGAAATACTTTAGAAAAGTTTTTTTTATAAAATCCAGTCACCGTATATCTGTTCAACATCTCATTTTTCAGAAATATTTATTCCTCATACAGCAGTGACATGTTGCTGTGTAGCATTTCAGATTCACAGGCAAAGAACAAACAAAACACTTGATAGCTGAGACAATGTAGAATGACTTATGGAAAGTCCCAACAGCTACCGTTTCCCAAGAAAATGACAATTTGGCTCAAATCTGGAAGAATCTGAATTGTGCCCGTGGTTGTCAAACTTCACAAAACACCCAGGAAAAACAAAGTCAGGCTGAAGTACACAACAGCTGTGACATGGCGGCTAAGGATATATGAATGAAACTGCCACCAGCTATATCTGCAAAATTCAGATATCGGTGTCCTTAGAACTCTACAGGAAGTACGAAAAGTTTCATCTCTTAATGTCTTATGTGGTTGGAACCTACAAAGTCTTGGCTTACCATTCTGAATGTTGGCAAGTGGAATATGCATAATACAGAAAAAGCCTCTGCTGGTCAGGATAAATGCATGATAAATACCTATAAATTAAGCAGAGGACATTATCAAGCAGCATTCCCACCCCAGATACTCCATCGGTCTATTTTTGAGTCAAGGAATATCTAATCTCTTAAGTATGAACAAGGAATAAAAACAACTCTCCTTCCTCTGAACGCTGAACGAAGGCCAAAGAATTACATTGGGTATATAAACAGAAATGCTCCTGGTTTTCTTCATGGGCCAAATTCTGAGATTGAACACCACAACTTGCAAAATATATTTTCAAAGGTACCAATCTTACCTTCCACGGAACTGTCCATTTTTAGAATGAGATCCAAAAAGGCCTTTTCATCGAAAGAACTTTCAACTAACGCCTAGAAGTGATCATCCAGAAAAAAGAAAAAAGAAAAAAAAAGCATCATTGTAATTACAGGTGGGGTAATGATGTTATGTATTTTCATATACTGATGGAGACTGAACCTTCCAAAGGTATCTGGTTCGGCTTGAATGAAAAAGTGAAAAAAGCTTCAGAGAGGGCACAAATATGAGTGTTCGTATTTTCTACTCCATCAGCACAGGAGTGTGAAAAAAGTAGAAGCCCTTAATTCCATTTTCAACTTAATCATTATGGCTGTGGTTAAAGTTAATTGTATTTCGGAGGAAGAAGTTTGGTGCAAAATTAGCGACTAACTTTTTCTTACGGTTCGTTTTCGTAAGAAAAAACCCCCACAAAATTTTCAAATACAAGAAGCGACATTTTTACAAGAATGGGCAAGAAATAAGCCACGTGCCTTCGTTAGCAAGGTCTGTTTTGAAGAAACGTGAATCAGATGCAAGTTCCCGCTTCTTTCACCTGCGACAAGGAACTGTCCTTCTTGACACAAGCCAACAATGTCCACCTTCGTTTCTGAAAGGTTCATAAAGCCAGCCATGTGTTATTGCGAGTGATGAGGAGGACCCCCCAAAACAAAACACTTAGTTCCTGCCCCCAGCTGGAAACTCACCAAAATGAATAAACATTTGAAGAGTCTGACAAATATTGTCAAGTGCCACCACCGTCCTGTCAGCCACCAGTACGCAGCCATCATTCAAACAGTAGGCATTTAGTTCCGGGTTAGATAAAACCTGATCAGTTAAATATATATATATAAAATAAAAGTCCATGTAGATAGATTGATTAAAAAAAAGCACGCCAAGAACCAATGAGCTTTGTGTTCTTGGCATATCTGTCAACAGATTAAAGCAAAAGAATTAGTGCAGCCATCAACAACTAATGCACATTGCGGCTAGACATCAGTGTGTAGGTAGTCCTCAAGTTACAACCATAATGGAGTCTGGAACTTCAAATCTGGGTTGTAAGTCCCCTTTTTCAGGTTGGTCGTAACTCTGAAGTCGCTGTCCGGTCATAACTCAAGGACGGTCTACTATTATAATAAGAGTTGTAGGCCTGCTCATTTCTTTTTTATAGTTACTAGATCTTTGGATTGAAAATCAAAAGTGATCTCACAGCAGCCTTCCCACAAAAACACAAAGGTGTGTTTTTCTGAGTCAGGAACCCAGGGAAGACACAGCAGCATTGGGTGCTTATCCTGATTTGAGCCCTTGTGGTTTCCGCTGCACCCAGAGCCACTGAGATGGGTCCTTAAGGCTGTGCTACCTTTTGGGATGAGGTCATTTTCAGCAGCGTGTTCATCTGGTAGAGCGCGCTTCCACATTCCTGCCTGGAACTTATGCTCAGCTGCCCGCTGCCCGTATCGTCGCTTATCAGAAGCTCGACGTTGTCCCACATCTTTACTCCTAAAATGCAACATCTTTCATGCGTTATCTGATTATAAGATTCTCTGGCAAACATTTTTAATACTAGGTCCTTCATTCATTGACATTGACATCATCGGAGGACAATGTTCTGTCCGGCGAAAGTCAGAAGACAAACAACGAAGCCATAATGTGCATTAAAGCAAAGGAAGCCTTTAAATGGTGATCTGAGTTGGCAATGTTGCAGGATCCAATCTGGGTCGATCACCGGGACCAGGTGACCGACCCAGATTGGATCCTTCAACATTATCCTGGGTCGCTTTCATTCGTGAGTTTGCAACGTCACGGATTTATCTATCGGCAGAACCTTTCCTCAAGGCAAGAAAGTTAGGATTTTTTGTTTTTTACAACCAGCCTGCCTGAATTTCTAAATCTCATCTCGCTTCAAACAAGGTGTGTGTACTTTTAACAGCAGAATCAGTATTTTTCACTCAGTGTCTCTAAAAATATCTTCCCCTTTAACCCACCAATAAGCACCCGCACAAACGCCCAGTGGTAATAATGTCATTTTTCTGGATTGCATCTCCTTGACCTTAAAAGTCTGTTTAAGCTTTTTGATGACTTTTTTTAGATCAAAGCAACTAGATCGTTGTAACTAGACTGTGTTGTGTCTCTGCATCATGTGTGTATATGTATTATATTTATATTTACGTGGTTACCCTTTGACAGCTGTATGCAACGAGATCTCATTTTAATGTAGTAATGTACATTTAAAGTGACAATAAAGTTGTTCTTCTATTCTAGTCTCTATTCTAAGAGAAGCTAAGAAGCAAAACCTGCATGCACATCCCAAACTAAAGCTTCCCCGGGTGAACTCCCATCGGCGGGCCGCCCCTTACCGACTGACGCCGATCCCGGCTGGGAAGGAGGCGAAGCAACCGCGCGGCGACCGAACCGCCGAAGTTCGAGCGCAACTTTTTCTTTGGCGGGAGTTTTCCCAGCTGTTCGGGGGCGGAGCCTAGCCGGCTACGGCGCTCCGCAAGGGCCAATCTTCCTCAAGAGAACGGCGGCCCAAGCCGGGGAGATAGGAAAAGTGTAGAGGTGTCCCGTCCATTGTGATTCTCGTTCCCTTATGGAAGGGACGTTTGGGTGGCTTTTCGAGGCTTTCTCCTGGTCATTCAGCTCCCAATGCATGCAAGGGCAAAACTGAGGAGGATTGGGCGCATCCAGAAAATTAGCCCAAGGTATCAGAGAGGCTGCTCTTCTCTTTATTGAAGAAAAATGGGAAAAGAGGGATCACATCATATTTTTGTTTAAAGGTTACAACTCCATATTCAGAGCCCGCCGCGTTGGTCTTTGGGGCAGGTGTATCGCCCCAGCAGGAGAGCCTTAAAAAACAGCCAAAGAAGGGGAAGAAACAGCAGCCGCCCCACTCTACAAGATATAGCTCTATGCTGCCTCGCCCGCCGCGGCGTCCGCGCAGGCGCAGCGCCCGCTCTTCTGCCTCCCGCCGCTCCCATCCGGGCATCTCCCAGGCAGGGGGCGGGGCCGAGCAGAGAGGGCTGATCGCCCAGTCAGTTGCGGAGGCGACGCGCGTCGCTCGCTGAGGGGCCGGAGCCGCGGAGAAGCCGCAGGTCCCGCTGGGCGCCCGCTTCCCTTCCCCTGCACCCCGGCATGGCGGTGAGGCTCCCGACGGCTTCCCGGGCGGGCGGAGGGCGAGGCCCAGCGGCGGGCGGAGCCGCCTCGGGTGGAAGGCGCCAGACAAGATGGCGCCCGGCCGCCATGATGGGCCTCCGGGAGGGGGGGAGGAGGAGGAGGAGGAGGGAGGCGGTACCCCCCCCCATAGCGCGGCTTCTCGAAGCTTCTCTCCTGGCACCTTCGTGGGGAGAAGCGAGTGTCTGTATCCCTACGTTGGGCTGACACGTCTCATACACGTGTAGGTGGTGATGGTGGGGAAGGGCTTTTTGTAGAGTTAAAGCGGGCAGAGCCTCCGTGTGTGTGTTTGTGTGTCTTGTGTATGTATATATTTCCTATTTATATGTGTGTATACACGTATATAGATGTACCTGTATACAGCCCCAATTTATGTATGGATCTGAAGCCTTTTTTAAAGCAAATTTTATTAGAGGGTGTACCCTAAAGGAACAGGATGTGTGTGTCTATTGGTACAAAGGCTTGGGAGCTGTCTAGGGCTTATGGGATGGGGAGAGAAGACCAGGCCCATTTGCTGCTCTTTTGCAAATATAACCCTAAGAAAAGAAGCTGGTAGGCTGGGCATGTGTGAATCTTTCACATTTACATTGACTCACATACATATATATGTCTGTATACAGCTTGAAGAGGAAGATGCTGAGTGTAAAGCTGAGTTAATTGTTTTAAGGTATTTTTTAGTAGCTTCAGTTTTTAACTTGGACATCAAAGACTTTGGAATAAACACACAAAAATAAATGTTGCATAAAGCTAAATATTTAGGGGCTTACAGCTCCTTAGCATTTATTTAGCATCAAGGCCTTTTATATTTTTATTGATTGGTTGATAATGCCATTGTAACAATGGCATTTAATGCTATTATTAGTTGCCAATGTTAAATGTTGTTTGTGACCTGGTTTTAAAGCCCTTGGGGTTGTACAGCTCCAGTTCTGCTATGCTCTCAGCTGGGGTTTAATTTGTTTGGAATATTCCTAAAATATAAACAGGTATTCATCCCAAGTAGAGCACTGCAATCATAAAATCCTTGACATTTTTTCTATCTAGTTTTTCACACCTGTCTAGTTATTCAGCCTGATAAGAAATTATTTAATGACAAAATTGTGTTATTCAGATTTGCTGTAATAGTCAAGCGAGGAGGGTAATTTAGTTTCTAGAGGAAGCTATTAAAATGTGTACTCTAGTGTAAAGGAAGTCAGACATATTAAGTGTATATCATAGTTAACATAATATGTGCTGTAGATTGAGTAATTTAAAGAACTTGAGGTAGTGTTCTACTCTGGATATCGGAAGAGTAGTAGACAGTCACTATACTGCAAATATTAAAAGTTATTTCATTTTAAATTAGGCTAGTGATTCTGAGCGAGAGGCAAATCCCCCAGAGAAATTCTCTCCCGAGAGAGAAAAGAAGAAGGAACGATCAGATGCATCCAGTTCACCTAGAACGTCAAAACACCATTATTCAAGGTCACGTTCCCGATCAAGAGAAAGAAAACGAAAATCCGGTATGAAAGTCTCTCGCTGTTTCCATTATTACATTTTGCTAGTGAATACCCTTGTAGTTTAATGGTTGTCTTAATTAAGATAGTAATTTGTTACAATCTGTGTAACTTTAAAATAAATATTTCTATTCGAAATGTAACTTTTTGGAACGGAAGGCATAAGTGATAGCATTCTATATTCAAGGTAGAGTGGTGAATTGATTAAATAGTTCAGACCTCAGAATTATGTTGAGCCTTGTATCAGGGAAGGGGGTTGGGAATATTAAGTTTTCCAACTATTTTAAATCAATAGCTTAAACAATATCATTGGGATTGGAGCTTATGTAGATGATTTTTTAAAAACTATGTTGGATTACTAATAGATGCTTTCTTCTTTAGATAATGACGGGAAAAAATACAGAAGTCGCAGCAGAAGCAAAGAGGTAATTAATACTTTGTAGTGCTTGGGTATTTGTGCAGGACATATTTACAAGTATGTCATAGCATGTATAAATCTTAAGATATAATTGTCTAAATGGTAAGTACCAAAAAAAAAAAAAAAGTAAATTCAGAAAGTGCTTGGAGTGAGAAGCATGAATGAAGCCACCCTTATAACAAAAAGGTAATAATTGACCAAAAAAATTCATGTGGAGATTTACTGTGGAAAATACCATGATAAAATTTTTAATATAGTTGATTCCTACAGAGCTTCCATTCCTCAGAGTTCAGCTAAGCACTTGCAAAATTCTTTGCCCATCTCATTCCACCTCGACCCTGAACTTTTTGTCACCCTTTGGGTGAGGACATAGTTGGAGTTTTCCTGTGGTGGGGTTTGCCTGTACAACAGGAGTCAAGAGATGAAAATGGTTTTGAAGCCAAAGCGAGGGGACTGAGATGAGGAAGCCATTGTGGAAGTATTGCTGAGGGAACCCCCCGGCCTCTGGTGCAGAGGTGGTTTCAGTTCAGGAGCATCAGCAGTAGCTAGAAAATTCTGCTAGACAAGAGCTTTAGATGAAATTTCTTTATGTGAGACCAGAGGCTTTTCCCCCCCTTTGCAATGGAAGCTCTGTTTTAAAAAAAAAAGTAGGAGAGTATTTGTGAAATTGACTATATTGTTTAGATCACATGATAACATTTCTATAATAAATCATACTCAGCGTGCTAATGCGCGAAGAGACTGAACTGAAGACGCTCCAGACTCAGATAGCAAAATTATAAGCCTACTTCACGATAAGGTAACTATTAGTCATTCAAACTCATATTTCGCTTTCAAAGAAATTTAAATCAGTTATTGGATATAATGGTGTTTTTAAAGTACATGCTATATGTTTAAAGACTATTCCATTATGTTTTCAAAGAAGTATTTCCTTCATAATGTAGAAATCATTCAAACTAGTTAAGAACTGTACTGTTTCTTATTTTAAATTCCAGGGGAATAACTGCTGTTAGAATTTGATTTTTCTATTGAAAAATAGAATATTTTTTACCAATATTTACCAATATTTTTAGGTAATTGTCCTAATCTGTAATGCTTAAAGGCTAATTAAGTAAAGGGTTATTCCTAGTAATTCTAGGACAGAAATAATATGGACATCACACATATTGGAAAAGCAGCACCGTCCATAAAATACCTCTATCTTGGCAGTTGGGTTTATTTCACCTTTGTGAGCTTTTTCCATTTGTGATATGCAGCAAGTACACTTTACACTCCCCTTTTTTTAATCTTCAGTGGGCGCCCCAATAGGTTCATATTAAAAATTTAGCCATAAAAGTTAAAATACTAGTAATTGTGGTGGCTTAACATTGGTGTAATGAATGAATGGTTGAATTATATATATGCAATACTGGTTTTAAGTGAGGTTACTAGGACCTGGAAGGCATAAAGAATTACATGAAAATGTTAAGGATTACCTGTGCAATTGCTTCCGAGTATCGCTTCCAATACAATTCATAGAGAAAAATGTATCTGTGTAGTAAAAGTACAGAAAAGGAAAGTTGCAGAGAATCTTTACCCAAATTTTAGAGAAGCAAACACTGGTAAAGTGTCTTACTACAGAAAAAGCCCAGATTGTTGCAAATTCAGAACACGATCTGGCTTGAATGCTGGTTACCCGACAGACAAGGTTTTAGGCTGGGGGTCCATTGTACCACCAAACCTCAGAAAGATGGCCCATAAATCTCCTGCCACGTTGCTGGGCGAGCTTTTTAAAGATTTCTCTGGGGTTCCTTTTGTGGACGAGGCCCCTCAAACACTCAGAGCAGCTCTTCTGTCTCGTGATGTAAAACCGGCTGTGGCAGGAGATGTTTTAACATCTTGTGGAGCAAGGTTTAAGTCAGGTAGCGGTGGGGGGGAGCGGTAGTGTCATCTCTGGTGGTGTTAAAGGCATCTCAGTTGACTGGGGCCACGCTCCTAAGGTTACTAATGTTGCATCATCACAACGTATCATTCTTGATCTTCTAATGCCCATACTAACTCTTTTTGTTGCACTATTTTCCTGAAAGAACCAACTTCTTCTTAAAACAGGCACGAAGACATGGGTCCAAGGAGAAGTCCTCCAAGAAGCACAGGCCTGAGGACCACAACGACAAAGAGCACCCTTCAGATAAAGGGAGAGAGAGCCTGAACTCTTCGGAGAATGGCGAGGAGCGGCACAAGCGCAAGGAGAGGAAGTCCTCCAGAGGACGTAGCCACTCACGGTCTCGATCTCGGGAAAGGTGGGCTCGTAGTTTCCCCATGTTGTCGGTTTGCAGAGGCTCCGGGAGATTGTTGAGCCCGCTCTCCAAAAGAATGGGAATGCGACCTTCTGACAAGCAAAGTCAATAGGGAAACCATGTTCACTTAACAACTATGTTGCTAACCTAACAACTGCAGGGATTCACTTAACGTGGCAAAAAAAGTCATAAAATGGGGCAAAGCTCACTTAACAACAGAAATGTTGGGCTCAATTGTGGTCGTACGTTGAGGACCAGCCGTAGTTGTTTCCTCAACCCAGATCCAAATTTTTATACTTAACTACATTGGGGATATCTTGGATTTTTTTTCTTACAATAGTTACGCCAAGTCCTTTTGCCACTGATTTCTCTGTAGAAAGGCAATGCTGACTAGTGTTTTTGCACTCATTCCAGGGGGCTATCTGTTAAATAATACAATCTTTTTTAAAAAATATATACGCAAACAGAACACAATGCAGATAATACTTTTCTTTGCTTGTGATTAAACGGGATAGTCAGGCTTGGAAAGGTTAATAGGGGTTTGGATGTGATTCCAGGCGACACCGTAGTCGAAGCCGAGATAGAAAAAAGTCCCGCTCCCGCAGTCGGGATAAAAAGCGGCGCCTGAGATCCAGATCTCGATCCAGATCCAAACACAGGCATAGAAGTCGCAGCAGAAGCCGAACCAGGAGCCGGAGCAGGTAGGTTGACGCTTCTTATTCAGCCCTAAAAGGGCAAATGTGGAGAGAGTGACAGCGAACGGGAGAATGTGCCGTTCAGGTTCATTTGTGATCTGATAAGTATTTCTGAAGACAAGAAAAATGGAACTCTGCTTCTGAACAGGGAGAGAAAGAAGAGACCTGAAAAACCACGAAAGTTCAGCCGAACTCCCAGCCGAACACCCAGCCCCCCACCTTTCAGGGGGCGAAACACGGCGATGGATGCTCAGGAAGCCTTGGCTAGACGGTAAGAGACTCTCCTCCCAAATTTTCACCTATTTTGATTGTAGGTTTATTTGATTTCTTTCTTAGATGGTTTTCATGATTCCCCCTCCTTCTCCATTCATAATCTCTATGAACCTGGAAGTGGGGGAGTACTTCAGCCCCTTTGTCTTTGCCATCAAAAGTTATCTCTCGAAATCGAATTAAGATGCAGCAACAGAGAAAAGTACTAGACTTGTGTGCAGCTTTTTCAGCTTGTCTTTGCTGTTTTGTTTCTAAAGGAACAGAAATGAGAAAAACGCCTTTTGACACCTTTTCTGCATTGTTATTCTTAGGTTGGAAAGAGCAAAAAAATTGCAAGAACAGAGAGAAAAAGAACTGGTTGAAAAGCAGAAGCAACAGGAAATTGTTGCCGGTAATTGAACTTCCCTTTCAAATAAATAGAGATAATAACGCTTCACCGCTTTATTTTGTTTTGATCTATATCTCTAGAGACTTTCTACTCTTCTACCATTTTTAAAAATACATAGACCAGGAAAGTAGGATGTTATGTATTTGGACAAAAGCTGGTAAAGATCGTCTGCAAAAGAGTTTGTACAATGTCTATGGCTTGTAAAGCTGGGGTATTAGACAGCTGGTGCCTTTTGAAGAATTCCTGTTTTGTCGGTTTCAGCGGCAGCTGCCACCGGCGGGTCAGTCATCAACGTCGCAGCTCTCCTGGCCTCCGGGACGCAGGTCACTCCCCAAATAGCCATGGCAGCTCAGATGGCAGCCCTGCAAGCCAAGGCTCTGGCCGAGACGGGAATAGCCGTTCCCAGCTACTATAACCCAGCAGCAGTGAACCCCATGAAGTTCGCCGAGCAGGAAAAGAAGAGGAAAATGCTTTGGCAGGGCAAGAAAGAAGGGGTAATTGTCTTCCGTTGGTTGCCTGTGGGGAGTCTGCACGGGGATGTTTTCGGAGGCAGATCAGGGCCTACCCCTGGCTGTGCAGCTCGTGACCCTTTGGAGCTTTTGAAATTCTAAGTTGGAAATAGCTTTGAAGGGCTCATTCGCAGGGCCAAGCTGATACAGGAACTAGGTGCTAAGCGAGTCCTCGTACTGAATGTTTGAGGGGGGGACCACGGGGGGTTGTGAATGGGTTAGAGGAACGGTGAAAAGGAGAAAATTACCTTTGTACACGAGAAATCTTTTGCCAGTGGCCACACGTTGATTTTTCTTTTATAGTACGAACACACTTCTCTATGTAACCTATAAAAACTCACTACTTTCTGTTTTTATAGGATAAATCACAGTCTGCGGAAATCTGGGAGAAACTGAATTTCGGAAACAAGGACCAAAATGTCAAGTTTAGAAAGTTGATGGGCATTAAGGTAGGTGTTTCTAAAATTGGCTTTGCCTTTACCCCAGAATGATCAGCGTGAAGAGATCTGTGTGCTCTCAGAAGGCCTACAGGCTATGAAACAAAACTTCAGAGCGGCACATGGAGTGAAGTCAGATTCTTGAGTAGCTGGATGAGTTAAGAGATAAGCTCAGACACTGGGAAATACAGATTGGGATTAAAATGATCTCCTGGGCATCTGATTTCCTCCTATATCCCACCAACTTTTCAGAGCAGATCTGGAGACGCTCAGGTGGGGAAAGACTGCTTATGCTCCACTACTTGGTAACCGGTGAAAATTATGGGAACCTTAGTGGAGACTTCTAGCAAAGCTTTGGGTCTGAATCTTCACTGTGTGCTGCTGTGGATGTATCAGAGCTGAAGAGTTGAGTTTGGTGACCCTTTGGTGGTTGATGGCTTTTTTTCTGTTTCTCCTAGAGTGAGGAGGAAGCTGGGGCTAGCAGCTCGGTGGACGAGGAGAGTTATAAGACTTTGAAACAGCAAGAAGAAGTCTTCCGCAATCTGGACGCACAGTACGAAATGGCCAGGTCACAAACACACACCCAAAGAGGAATGGGATTGGGCTTTACGTCTTCGATGCGAGGAATGGATGCCGTTTGAGGAAACGCCTTTGGACAGCTTGAGACTCCTCTGACCGAGATTCTTGTTGAGATGTTGGCTCCACGTTCACCGAAAGCTGGCATCCTAGCTTGCATGGGTGTTAACATTGACTTTAATTTATTGACATTACAAATTTTTTGTAAATACCAGATCAGTGATAACTGGTGTTCCATGTTGTAATCAGGTTATACTCACTTCCATTATACACGGCAGAGCTCTAGAAGGACGCTTCTACTTCTGTGGTTTTCAAACAGAACAGCCGAGGGTGAACTCACCACATGGATATTTTGTGTCCACCGTCTCTTGTGTACTTTTTGTACTTTAAACTTGTACAGTTATTTTCAACTCTTGGAACATGAAACACATTGTATTGGTGTTAAAAACTAGCAGATCGGGCCAATGGGTACGTAAATGCAGTGCAACAACCTGGTTAATAAAACTTTTTTTTCTCAAGTAATACTGTACTTAAGTTTAGTAGATAAATTATTTCAAGCTTAATTTCAAGGAATATATTTTTTAGAAAAATGCTCATCCCGATGCAGAAGAGGATAGGATTAAAGTTGCTAGAGGATAAAGAATACTGCAGGTTTTAGCGTGTTACGTATTTGTTAGCTATATCAAAATATTACATCTTAATAGATTATGCTCATCTTTCTTACCCAACAGTTGTTTCCCCCGTAGTCCCTGCTTTTAAGTAGTTTTGTTCTGTGAAAGGACTAATTGAATACTGTAGAGACAAACCCCTCAAAGATACTATGTTTTAATAGCCATTGGCCGATTAGGAAGTATTTAACAGAATGTAAAAAGTGAAATGTAAACTTCTCCCATAGAAATTATAAATGTAAGATGAGAGATGGAAATCGCTGTTGCAGAGGAAAGGACCTCAGATGTGAGAAAACTGTTTCTTAAAGAAAACCAAAATTTGATACTGGCATCGCCGATGCCTCCGACTGTAGCTCTGAGCCCCCACCGTTAATTTGTGTATTGCACATCATCCATTATATTAATCCTCCATATTTATCTCCCCACACCCAACCGAGGCAGGTGGAGAATAGGGATGGTGGACGGTTTAAATTCAAATCTATTTGAGGATCACAAGTGTTCAGAGTTAAAGCTTTATTTGGAATTGGGGGCACAAAACAAACCAGGAAGTGGGTGCTTTGATTGATGGTATCTGCAGAGGCAGTTTTATATCAGAGTAGCAGGTGCTGATAATATTCCAATTAAAGCATTAAAAATATAACATGTATGGTCTGTTCTTAAATACGTTTTTGGATATTTTTGCATGCCTTTCCTGATAGGCAACGATTCATCTTAATTACTGGCACCGTGTCCCATCATCCTGGGCTGGAACAAACACCAAGCAGCCACAGCAATTCCCAACCTCGCAGCGGAAATACTCCGCTCCCGAAATGCACCGCGGCTTAGTCCCAACTACAACTCCCGGCAACCTCAAGCTCCCTTTTCGAGCGAGCCAATGGGCAGTCAGCTTAACCGTCGCCCCGTTGCATGCCGGGCGCCGTAGTCTTCCAGCGCTGAGAGGCGGAAAAGGCCTCGGCTGAAGCCCGAACCTGGCTTGAACGGCGGCGCCGGGTCCTGAACGCCTTCTACGGCCTCCCGGCGGCGGCGGCAGCGGCCTTCGCCTCCTCCTCTCCCTCGTCCTTCGAGCCTCGCCTCGCCAAGATGGCGGCCGAGGTGGACTTCGGCGACCGCGAGCTTTTCCAGCAGCTGGAGGACGATGAAGAGGCGCCCAGCGCGGGGCCAGGCCCGGCGGAAGAGGCGGCGGAGCTCCGCGAGCGGCTGAGAGACTCGGAGGAGACCGTTAGGCAGCTGCGGGCGGAGAATATCCTACAGCGAGCGGAAAGGCCGCCTCCGCCCCGCTGGGAGCGCCTGGCAGGCCGGGCGGGGAGCGGCCGTCCTCGGGGAGCGGGGGGCCTCGCTGTGTGTGTGTGTGTGTGGGGGGGCGGTGGGATTCCTTCCCCAAATCCGGATTAAGTCCAGGTAGTCCTCGGTTTACGACCACAATGGAGCCCCAACGTTTAAGTTGCTAAGCGAGATATTTGCTAAGTGAATTTTGCCCCGTTTTACTTTCTTGCTAGTTCAGGGAATCACCGGAGTGGTTAGTAACCCGGTTATTAAGCGAATCTGGCTCCCCCATTGACTTGGCTGGTCAGAAGATCGCAACAGGGGATCATGTGGCACACACCCCGGGATGCTGTGACCGTCATAAGTATGAGTCAGTTGCCAAGCGTCCAAATTTTGATCATGTCACCACGGAGATGCTGCAACGGTCATAAGTGTGAAAAAGGGTCATAAGAAGTTACTTTTTTCAGTGTTGTAGCTTCAAACCGTCACTACATGAATGGTTGTAAGTCAAGGACCACTAATGAAAGCCGGTTGAGGGACTTTGGGCCTCTCCTCTCTCTCAGCCCGACCTACTCACAGGGTTGTTGTGGGGGGGGGAAGTAGGCAGGGGGATTGGTTTGTCAGTCTATCTCACTCCCAGACCATCTCTGGGTGGTTTACATTTAAAAACTTAGCCATGTATACATATTATATCTGGGTAAAAGGCCTATAAACATAGGAGGCAGTTGAAACAAGGATGGAATAATTTAAAGATAGATAGATGGAGGGAAGAGCCTTCAATGGGCCAATTTATAAACTAATAATAGTGAGATAATAATAAACTAACGCAAGATTGTGTGCTCCTCCGCAAGCCCAGGGTGAGTAGCAGAGCCAGGTCTTCAAATTCTTTTCAAAGGCCAGGAGGAATTAGGTGTTTTCTCTGCCTTGAGTTGTATGTAAAAAAAAGATGGGGAAAAATAATAATTAAGGAGGCCTGGAGAGAGGAGGCTGCAGGGATTCCCCTGGTTTCACTCCCTGTTATCTTGCCTTGAAATTCCTTAATCATTTTCACATCAGGAACTCAAAAGAAAACTGAACATCCTGACTCGACCAAGGTAGGTTGCAGCCTCTCAATTATTCGCAATGTTTTGGCCAAGCAGAGGGTCTTCAGGTAGATTTGTAATCGTTTGTCAAGGGTTTCTGGCTCCCTAGCTATGAAATACATTGCAAAGTTATTTATATGAGAGATCCAGGCAGGAAACCAGATCTGACGTCTCTCGGAGCCCTCAAAATTATCTTCTTAGGATAAAAATAACAGAAGGTAAAATAGAAAATGAAAGACTTGTAAATCTGATGAATTGACATTAAAGTCATTAAGGGTCAGGAAACGACTTTCATATTGTAAAATTAGCTTTATGGTTTCCTTTTTAGTGGACTAACAGTGGATGACTATAAACTTGATGGGCCTTTGTTACAGATCTTGTTCATGAATAATACTGTTTCAAAGTGAGTATCTTTCTTGTGTTGGCTGAGTTCATTTTCAGAATGGATGGCTATTGTATGCATCTTAGGCTAGAAGACTTGTGGGTCTAGATTTACAAGTGTGCTGGATCCCTGCTAAGAGAGATTTTTCATTAGCAGCTGCCCCATGTTTGATAGAGTCGTGATTTTTCATTTTTTAAGAAAAAAAAATGGAAGAGATTTTGTAGCAAGTCTTTGCAATAAAGGAGAAAAGACATTAAAAAATAGTTTCTGTGTATCCAAGATTTTAAATGATTGAGATTTGTTTCTATATGCAGTATGGAAACAAATCTGAATTTATTCAATGCTAGCAGAAATCTATCAAAAAAATTAAAACTATCTGTATATCTTTCTCGATGAGACTTCAATCCACCCGTTCTTTTGTAGGAGAGAAGTTTGCAGAACAAAAACTACAGCGTTCATTATAAATACTATATCAGAAATCCTTAGTCTTGTCCTTTTGGCTTTAAAAGACTAAAGATAGCAATTGATCCATTCTGTATTCTGATAATCTGTTATATAGGCAATATCATCAAGAAATAGAAGAGTTTGTATCCAATTTAATTCAGAGATACGAGGAGCAACAGAGGAGTGAATTGGACAAGGCCTGCTTCAATGTTAAACCGCAGGTATTTATCTCTGGATGGGTGTATTCTTTTATAAAGTTCTTTTCATCGTGTGATGAAAGATAACTTGTATTGCTGCCTTAGAGATCACCCATTTCTGTTCATGGGATGGTCCGTCACAAACCCCTCACTGTGATGATGATGATGATGATGATGATGATGATGATGATGATGATGATGATGATGATGATGAACTTGATTGAAGAACACTGATTTAACTTTGTAAACTTGATTTTCATTTTGTTAGCCTTCTAGTTTTGTCCTGGAAGAAGATCATAAAGTAACAAGCTCAAATCTGTCCAAAAAAGTCAAAGAGGCTTTTAGTGTAAGTTCCTTTTCGTTTTTGTGTTATGAGTGGTTTGAGTTTTTCCAGTTTATGGCATTAGGAAATGATTGGTAACTGATAAAAACAATTTTATTTTTTATTGTTCTTAGTCCTGTAACTTTGTTTTTTCATTAATTGGTTGAACGTATAACTACCACTTGTGAATCTTCATATTCTCATGCCATTTATTTAATGTACTTAATTATATCAGGACTTAATATTTGTGAAATATTTAAGTACATTTTTAGTGTGATATTTTAGTCTGATTAAAATACTGACACTTTTTGACTCTTTCTGCAGGTTGTAGGAAGTGTTCTCTATTTTACCAATTTTTGTCTTGATAAACTGGGGCAGCCTATATTAAATGAAAATCCTCAGCTCACAGATGGATGGGAAATACCCAAGTATCCTATTTAGTTAACTGTCGTTCCCTTTTCCTGTTAACGCAATAAGTCTAAAACAAATTGGGTTCCACTTACATATTTTCAGTTCCTGTTAATGCAATAAGTCTAAAACAGATTGGTTTCCACTTATATATTTTCAGCATCTTAGTGCCCTAAGTCTTTCGTCATTTGTTTCAATAAAACATTTCCACAGGGTGCATTTCCTGCTCTTGATTTAAACTGCTGTCACACCTTAACGTTGCATTTCTGGAAAGGCAGGGGACGGGCATAAACAGGATGGAAGGGACCTTGGAGGTGTTCTAGCCCAACCCCCTGCTCCAGCAAGAGACTCTAGACTATTTCATATAAATGATCGTCCAGTCTCTTCTTAAAAACCTCCAGTGATGGAGCACCCACAACTTCTGGAGGCAAGCCCTTCCACTGATTAATTGTTCTCGCTGTCAGGAAATTTCTCCTTGGTTCTAGGTTGCTTTTCTCCTTGATTAGTTTCCATCCATTGATGATTCCATTAATCAGACAAACTTTGCAGAAAAAGAAAACATCCAATCTTCAGAGTGGCAGGCTGATAATAATTCTGATCATGCCCTGTTCTGAAAAGCAGTTTGTGCCCCTTGGGTGGTGGCTAATATTATCTAGACAGGCGTACAAACACTACGATTGCATTTTGCTTGATACGATGGCAATTCCTTATTGAATTCTTAAGATACCAGCAAGTTTTCACGCAGATTCTTTGTCTAGATGGACAAGAGATACAAGTAAAGTCTAAAAGGTTTGTATTTCTTTACATCTACAAATGTTTCTGGTTTTATTTTAATAAAGCATGCCTTGTGATAGGTTAGTAGTAGATATGATTAGGGAGGGAAGTAAAAGCACAGTTTACTTCGCAATGTTAATTTTTCAGTTGGACTTTAAAGGCGTGGATAATATTTGTATCCTCAAATCTCCACAGAGGTATACAAACGGGAGTTTTGATGGCCACCTGCCTCTTTCAAGAGAATCAGAATCTTGGAAATTTGGCCTATAGAATCACTTTTTTAATCTCAGTTATAGGTTCTATCTCCCAGCTCAAAGCTCTGATAAAATGCTTGTTTTTCTTTGGTTTACTGGAAAGACTTGTTGAAAAAAACACGGCTGTGAATATTTCTTGGCAGCAATGCAAAAGCGGTGTGGTCTTCTTCCCTTCTCATTGTCCATGTTGGCAGAGATTGCTAAGAGTTGCGGTGCAACGCTTAAGAGCCACCCAGTTCCTTGTCTGCCTGCCTCGCGGTCTGCTTAGAATTTGTACTGGCATCCAGTGTCTTGCTATCATTTATTCATCTGACATCAAATTTTGTTTGGTCGTTCATATATCCAGTACCATTTCATCGCCACGCTGGTGTGACTTTTTCCACCTTTAAAATTGTAATTGTGCATTAGCTGATTTGCTCCTTTTGTGCTGCTGCAGCTAACGACGCACCAAGAAAATTAGAGTTTTGGTTTTTTTAAAAAAAAAAGATCAATGAGAATGTCAATAGCTCTAAGTGTGTGACTGTGTATGTGTGTTTTTAATAAAGCAGGCCCAAATCTCACTGTTTCAACTGCGGTTCCGAAGATCACCAGATGAAAGATTGCCCTCAGGTAAAGACCCATTTCAGTCCGTGCTTTGCTTAGCCTTATCGGTGGTTGTCACGTTTGGTATCGTTCTGACGGTCTTTGTTTTCCCCTCTTAATTTTCATTTTAGCCACGAAACTCTGCCCGCGTAAACGAAAAAAGGAAAGAGTTCATGGAGGCCTGCGTGGAAACGGGCAGCTCAAATTTCCAGCAGAGATATCACGTAGATGAGGTGGAAGAACGGTTTGGACACTTCAAACCAGGAATAATCAGGTACTTACTTGCGGCCACAGTTGGGCCCAAAATTTCCCTTGCCACAAGTGTGAAAAATAGTCACAAGCCCCTTTTTTTCAGTGCCATCGTAACTTAGAACGGTCACTAAGTGAACTGTTGTGAAACGAGGATTACCTGTACTTTTTCTCCCAGGTCAGTTATTTGTCTTCCTAAGTAGCAACTGGAATGGCAAATAATTCTATAAAAAGAGTGCAAGTTGAAAGTCTGCCTTCCCAAAATCCACCCACGATGAGCGGGGCTACCAGCCCTTTACTTTGGACTCACCGATACATTGGGGAACTTCAGAGTAAAACCTTTCCGGTCAGAAAGCCAGAATTTACAAAGCTCTACTAATCGACGCTCAGGGAAAGGCAGCTTTTGAGGGTGGCAAATTGCAAATCCACAAAAAAAGGGACAGGATTACAGAATAGCAGGCCCAGCACTTTCTTGACCTAACTCTAACCGCCGTGATCCTTGCCTTTTCTCAATTGGCAGTCTGGAACCAAGTTGCCAAAACTGCGGCTTGATTTCGTTGTGTTTTTAACCGGACCTCCTTCTTTCCCACCCCCCAACCCCACCCCCTGCAGCGAGGAACTCCAGGATGCCCTCGGTGTCACTGAGAAGACGCTTCCCCCCTTCATCTACCGCATGCGGCAACTGGGTTATCCGCCAGGTTGGCTCAAAGAGGCAGAAATGGAGAAATCGGGCTTAACGCTCTACGACGGAAAAGGTAAAGAAAAGGGGTGAAGACTCTCTGTTTACTTGTACAAGCCGGCATTTGGGGAGTCGGCCCAACATCTTGCCTAGACCGTTGTTTAGAATAACAGAGTTGGAAGGGACCTTGGAGGTCTTCTAGTCCAACCCCCTGCTCTGGCGGAATAGTATGCTGCGGTAGACTGTTGCTTGGCGTGACATGTTGATTGGACACCCTGAGTTTTCTCAGCCTAGTTTCAACCAGGGACTAATTAGCTGGCCAAGACAGAGATGGGGAGAGTGTTCCTTGCAGCTCCTGTTAGGCCTTGTTCAATTAATTAAAGGTGTTCACGCATCCCGACGTTTAGCGTCCAAACGGCCAGGAGCAAGAGAGCAGCGGGATGATGCGTTTTGCCAGTAATATCTTCAAGGACTGATGTTGCTTTTTTACAGCGTCGCCCAGCAGTGAGACAGAGGAGGAATTCCACCAGCAGAATCCATGTGTCACTTACGATACCTCCAAGTTGATCACCTACCCAGGTTTTAACATGTCCACTCCAAGTGGAGTCACAGATGTAAGTGCCTGTTTCCTTTTGCTGGTGTTATCCTGCCCCTCCACCTACAGGGTGTCGTGCCAGCCCACATTTACGCCTTTGGCAGGGTCCCAGCCTTTCAGGGTCACAATTTACAACGTTTTTGGGTAGAAAACTTTCAGTTATTTTACTTAAAGATACACAGCAAAGCTTTGCCGTGTGTATATAAGCCTTGGACATTTATTCTTTGATTTCCTAATCGTTTTTTTTCTTTTCTTTCTTTTTTTTTTTGGGAGACAGGAATGGAGGATGTTCGGCTCGGTACCTCTTCAGCCATCCCAGCAGAAAGAAATTTTTGCTCATTATCTTTCCACTTACCATTCGGTGAATATTTTTAAGCACGCTGGTCTTATTTGCCTTGAACAAAACTTTTGTTCATTCATTCATTCATCCATCCATCCATTTAGATCTCCCTCTGGGGTTCTTACTTTCTCTCCTTTGTTTCTGACCCTCCTCAGGCCACTCTCAAATCCAGGCACAAACGGCCTCCCTCTCACCACAGCTCCCATCATGCAAAGCGGCAGAAAGGAACCAGCGCCGAAGTCTCGCCAGCTGACATGGAGATCGACTCTGGTATAACTTTCCTCTTAAAAACCCGTCAGCATTTTAAAAATTCACCCCCCGTTTTGTTTTTTCCTTCGATTCCATGAGCTCCCAGTAGAATCCACCGTCCTTCCTTTGAAGCACCAGCCGTTTTAGCTCCGACTTGAGGCCGGCGAGTGATTAAAGACGGTGCTCTTTTCCTCCTTTCAGATCTAGAAATGCCCCATAGCTCTCCCGGTTACGATGGCTTCCTCTTCCAACCTCCGTTGCCTCCGGGGTCTCCGCTGAAGGCCACTCCCCCCCCTCTGCCACAGGGCACCCCTCCAGGTACTCCCCCCAGGCTGACTCCTCAACCGCTGTCTTGTGTGCCAGCAGCCCTGCCTCGCGACACCCCGCCTTTGACGCCGTCTGCCCTGCGGCCGGAGGACTCGGCCATGGATGAAGACACCTTGACCCTGGAGGAGCTGGAGGAGCAGCAGCGGCTGATTTGGGCGGCCCTCGAGCAGGCGGAGAGCACCAACAGCGACTCAGACCTCCCCGCCAGGACTCCCATGGCCGGCAACTCCGGGACGTCGTCGCCTTCCAGGACGGAGCCCTCCGTTCCCCTGGAGGAAGCAGCCCCCAAACAGTTGGAGGTCCCCAAAGCTCAGCCCGAGGATCCCCCTGAGCAGACACCCCAAGCCGAACAGCCTGGCCATCAGCAGGCCTCAGCCATTGAACTGGTGGATTTAACAACAGAGGTAGGACCCCTTCCCACAGACTCTGAAGGCCAAGCCCAGACCTGTTCCTCGGAGCCTACCGGCTGCGTGAATCATAGCGACGCTCCTGCGCTTCCCAACGCCTCCGAGCTGCCCTCCGGAACCCCCAGCCTCGTTCCCGACATGAGCAAGTTTGCTGCTGGGATCACCCCTTTCGAATACGACAACATGTCCGAGTCCACTGGGACTTACCTCCGAATAAGGAGCGTGCTGAAAAAATACCCCAGGAGCCAGCTGAAGAATAAGAAGCTTTCCCTTTAACGGCCCGACTGGGGCCAGGGACCAAAAGAAAAAAAAAAAAAGGATTTGGGCACTTAAAGCACAAATCAAGAGCAAGAGACAAAGCAGGGGTTGCATTCTTCCTAAAACCAAGTAATTTTGTTTTTTTGAAAAAGTCTGGCGGATGGGCTTCCATTTCGACTTAGAACCAGGACTGATACTTCCACAAATACACAAAGGATCCGTGAATCTTCTCCGATCCTGCTTTATAGATACCTCCGAATTTTTTGCCAACTTGGGGTCAAATACATTCTTGAGCCTCTCTCTACCAACCGAGGCTTTTGTCTCTGCAAGGCCTGTGCTTTCCATATGGAGCTGAGAGTTCTTTAAATACACTTACTGTCCGTGGCTTTTGAAAGGACCTCGGTTTTTTTTAATGCTCCCCCTGGTTTCTGAGGAGGCCCAGTTGTGGTGGCGATCCGATGGGAATAATCAGGGACGAATCAACCGTTCTTTCCATCCTTTTTGAAAAGTTTTATAAGTGATTTAGGGGATTTAATTTTTTTTAATGCCACCAGCTTTCTGTTTTGGTAACATCATCATCTTTGAACTTGCTGTACATATATTTGTGCTTGTGTACAGGAGTTTAATAAAAAGATTTTTTTTTCATAATTTTATGTATGCATGTAAGCCTTGAGATAAGGTTTAGAAAACCTACTCTTGGAAAATCAAACTTGACAGCTTTATTGAGGATGAATATTGTGTTGCTTTTGCTATTTTTTTCCCCTCCATGCCTTTTTAAGGGGGTTATTGCAAAGAAAATTTTGTAATCGAAAATATTGACATAAAGCCGTAAATAACACACCCTAATTTAATCCTGCATGGATAGAGGACTTAGCTGTTTATTCAGAGTAGTTGTTTCCAATGTTTCTTTCACTGCAGGTTTCTTGCAGGGTATTTAGATGGCCTTCTCTCCAATCTCCCAAATGTGTTTAGATCCAGAAAAAGGTGTGTATAATTATCCCCCCCCCAGTTACCTTGGGTGAGGTTGCTCCTGATACCAATGACCCTGTATATACCTGTGAATTATCTCCCGTCCTTGAAGACCTGATAATTCAAAACAGGCCCCATGGTTTGGAAAAAAAAAAAAAAAAAAAGTTCACATCCTCACTTTCCAGCGATGAATATCTTGAAGCACAAACCGATGCCAAACATTTTATTATGAATTCAAATGTCTGGTTTTAATTAAACGTTAAAGGCAGGTAGGGTGGAGTTGAAGCAAAGTGCCTCGGCCTGAAGGGGTGGCTGTCTTTTAACGACCGGAGTTTTTAACTTCGTTGAAACTCACCTAGCCTGGCTTGCCTGGACAGGAGAGAGCCTAGACCAGGGGTAGGCAACCTTGGCTCTTGCTGGCTCAGGAATTCTGGGAGTTGAAGTCCACGAGTCATGAAAGAGCCAAGGTTGCCTACCCCTGGCTTAGACGGCTCTGGCCTCCTCCGTTTGTGGTTTATTTGGTTTCCTACGTGTATTTGCTGCACCGTCTCCTTTGCACCAAATTTGCACAATGGGATTCTCCAAAGCAACATGTCCCCCTACTTTGCTTAGGCCAGGGCTCTCCGCACGTGGCAACTTTAAGACTGGTGGACTTCAGCTCCCAGAATTCCCCAGCCAGCATGGCTCCCGCCCAAATCGGAGAGGGGGACCTGGGAAAAAAATCAGACCTCTCCAGGAGGGAAGAAGAAATAATGGGGGAGGAAGAAAGGAGAAGAGGAAGGGAAGCAGAAGGAGGAGGAGGGGAGGCAGATGAGAGAGGAAGGAAGAAGGAAACAAGAAAGATGGATGGGAGGAAAAGAGACGGAGAAGAGGAAATGGTCAAAGAAGAGAAGGAAATAAGGGAGGAAGAATAAAAGGGGGAGGAAGAGGCGGAGGAAGAAGAATGCGGAAGCGGGAAGAAGAGGGTGAAGAGGAAGAATAGAGGAGGAAACGGGAAAAGGGGAAGGAAGGAAGGAAAGGGGGGGCAGATGAGAGGAAGGAAGAAGGGAAGGGAGGAAGAAGGAAACAAGAAAGATGGATGGGAGGAAAAGAGACGGAGAAGAGGAAATGGTCAAAGAAGAGAAGGAAATAAGAGGGAGGAATAAGTAATAAAAGGGGGAGGAAGAGGCAGAAGGGGGAAAGGAGTGGAGGAAGAAGAATGCGGAAGCGGGAAGAAGGGTGAAGAGGAAGAATAGAGGAAACGTGGGAGAAGGGGAAGGAAGGAAAGGGGGCAGATGAGAGAGGAAGGGAGGAAGAAGGAAGCAAGAAAGATGGATGGGAGGAAAAGAGACGGAGAAGAGGAAATGGTCAAAGAAGAGAAGGAAATAGGGAGGAAGAAGTAATAAAAGGGGGAGGAAGAAGGGGAAAGGAGTGGAGGAAGAAGAATGCGGAAGCGGGAAGAAGAGGGGTGAAGAGGAAGAAGCGGGGGGGGGGAGAAGGGGAAGGAAGGAGGGCATCCTCCCACCGCCCGCCCGCCCTTCCGCAGTCCCCGCCCGGCGGCCGCCCCTGCCCGCCCCTGCCGCCCGCCGGGAGGGAGGGAAGGAGCCGCCAGCAGCGCCGCCGCGCCTCGCCTGGCCTGGCCGGAGGAGGCGGAGGAGGACGCCGCCGCCGCCGCCGAGGAGGAGGAAGCAGGCAAGGCGGGCGGGCGGGCGAGGGAGACGGAGACGGCCTCGCAGCCGCCGAGGAGGAGG